TGGTTCATCTAAAGCTTCGATGTTAAAGTCAATGAGTCTATTGCCTGACTTCACATTTCTCTTCCTATTCTCTTCATCTTTCTTTAACCATCTCTCACCTTCTTTTGGTTTGTCGTCAATGGAACGAATGACATTATTAGCTTTGCGAACTTGTTCTATAGCACTTTTAAACATCTCTCTTCTCTGTTGTTTCAGTGTGTCGTCTCTCTTTCGTGTTTCACCAACGTTTGCATTTGTTATGTCAAACATCTCTTGACGAACATCATGCGAAAGAGCTTTACGAGTATGACCAACGTTCGCATTTGTTATGTCAAACATTTCTCTTCTTACTTCATGAGGTACTGAACGTCTATGATATAAGTCAATAGCAACGTCATTTAAAGGAAATGCTCTTGCATGGACTTCGTCCTCGCCGCGTTGCGGCTTTATGAACTCATGAATTCTATCATAAGTTATTTCACCATTGTAGTCATTGAGGATGTCAGCGAGTGCTTTTTTGTTTGTCGCGTAATGTTTTGCAACATCTATGTTAGCTTCTGTAAGAAGTTGTTTTATTTCCGAGTGTTCTAACTTAGACAACTTCCGATACATCTTTAGTAGGAAATAAAAAAATTTCTTAGAAAAAAATTAGCTTAGATTTTTAAGGCTAGTTTTAAAATATTTCGAACTTTTTATTATAATGAAACACATGCAAGATTGCAAGTTCTTTTCATACAATGCTCTCGCTAATGCCATCAAGAATGAGTTCAATAATGCTTCAAATGTTAATGTTATCTTTAACAAGAAGTTTGTGAAAGAATCTAAGTTCGGTCAGTATGTCAGACCATTAGCTATCGTCATTGACCACAAACGTTATACTTCACAAGAGTTAGCAGTAGTTTTGAAACAAAAGAGTTTCTTCGTGAATGTCAAAGATACTCATTATACTGTTATAAAGAACTCTAACATTGACTTCTTCAGTATTGCTATGAATCTTTCCGAACAGAAAGAATATAAGAAGGGTGAAACAAATGTGAAATATTATCCTTCATCTCTGAAGACAATAACGAACAAAGATGTTATACAGAAGCTCCTACCAAAGGTTGAAGAAGCTTCTATTGACATTGACGAAGGAAGTGAAATGGTTGAAGAAATTGACCCTGACGTCATTTAAGCAAAAATATATTTTTGGTTAGTCTTCATATCGACATTTTACAACACTTAAATGGTAAAAACAAAATAAACTTGACGAAGTGAAGATTTGCACTTCGTCGATTATGATCGACATGGAGCGTTTTGTTTTTATCATGGTTTTCTCCACTATGGTTCTAACGTGGCACCCGACGAGATTTTTTTTCATTCTTCCTCTTTGAAGTTGTCGAAATATTCTGTTATTTTTCTTTCAGTAATGTTAAGTCTTCTTTGAATGTAAGTATTGTGCAACCTTTGATGTCATAGTGTGTTTGAGGAAGTGTGTCTTGAACTATCTGTTTAACATCTTCATTCGGTGTCATTGAAATCGGTAAGTTTTCACGATAGAACCAATTTCTGTCAGATTTGTAAATCTTAGCAAGGTCGTAAAAGCTTTTGTTGTTTCTTCTGACTAAATGCAACATAACCATGTCACTGTCTTCTTCTTTCTCCAACTCTTCAGTATATATCATATACTTATAACTCTTTTCCTTTCCTTTTGATACTGAACGTGGTATTCTTTTCTGTATGCTTTTGTCTTTGGATTCAATGACTTCATCTTTTGCATGAAGTTTCTTTTCCATATCTTCACGTTCTGCTTTATATAGTTCATCTAACATCATGAAAATATAACAAGCATAACGAGGTGAAGCCCACATTGCTACAGCATTTACTAAAAGTCTATGAACATAATAACCTTTCAAACCAGGAGCCAAATTCTTGCGATTTTCGTACGGAATCTCTTCCCTCGGTTTTCCGAGGGAAGCAATCATATGAGGAAATTCTTCTAAAAGTTCTTTTGTCTGTTGGTTTTCAAACCAATGATATGCTTGCTTTGTAGAACGAAGAGCATTCATTATACTTTGCATCTGGTACATATCGTCTTTGACCGAACGAATGAGTCTCAATTGTTTGTTATACTGTATGTATTCATATTCTTCATTAATGGCTTCATGAACGATAGCAGTTGTTGTGTTCTCTGTTGTTGACATATCTGTCTTTATATTCCGGATAAAAAAAATATTTTATAAAAAACTAACTTTATTTTTCTGTGTTAAAGAAATGTTAAAAATTCATGGTTACATATGTGAAAAGAAGTCAAGAACAAATGAAGGTCATAAGATTCAGCACATAATTCTGAATTGAATGGTGTGTCATACATGTCAAACCGTCAAGAATTGAAGGAGATACGAGGCTATAAAGATTTTGGATATTTTCTGACACACACCCTGAGGGAAAAGTAACAAAACACGACGATAGAAAAGTGACAAAATGAGAGAAAGTTGTTCCCCGACCAAAATGCAATCATGTTGAAAAAGTGACATTTGTAAAGTTGGACGATAGGATTTCCTGAAAAAGTGCAAGTCTTGTTCTGAATCAGGACAAGATTTGTCTTGAAAAAATACAAGACTTGTTCTGAAAAAATACAAGACTTGTCTTGAATCAGGACAATTGTTCTCAAATTTGAGAACTTTACAAGAAAAACTGACTAAAAAGTGCAAGTCTTGTTCTGAACCAGGACAAGATTTGTCTTGAAAAAATACAAGACTTGTTCTGAAAAAATACAAGACTTGTCCTGATTCAAGACAAAACTTTACAAAATGTAAACTTTACATAACCGTTTCTATCGTACATGATATTTAGTTGACATTGTAAACTATCTTCATGTAAAGTATGGCGGTTTGAAACCGTCGGGAACCTTCACTTTTTTGACGAAGTGCGAATCTTCACTTCGTGTCATGATGCAAAAATAATGAGTTCATTTACTCACAATATTTTTTGTACAAAACGACCCCAAACTTTTAACTTCTTTTCTGCAGCTTCTAATGCTATCTTAGCGAGTTCATATTCTCTAAATTCTCTCTTTAAATCTTCTTGTTCCCATTGGTCTAGTTCGTATGGAGAATCTCTATAACCATAACATATCTCACGTTCATGTTCTAATTGTTTTTCACACATTTTTCTAACTTCTTCTTCAAACAAATGTTTAGCATTCTCTACTGTATCTTCGAGTTCTTCTTCATCTAATTTCTCATGAACTTTCTTGTCTATGGAGTCCATAATTTTTCCAACTGCTATGCAATATTTTGGAGAAGCCCACACTGCTATATAGTTTATAAGTCTTGGGTCTACATACGTTCCTCTAACCTGTTTGATTTCATCAGGAATTCCTGCATGAATTTTGTATAAAAAGCAACCGCCGGAATTCGGACTGTTGCTATATTCTTCACAAAATGCCTTATAATACTCTTCCCAGGACTTATTTTCCAACAACTTTCTAAAGTCTTTCCTAAACTGCTGACACATATTTGTTGCATTAATGTAACCATCCTTGTCTCTACGTAAGACTTCAATACCGTTATAAGTGCCTTTTGTGAATGTTTCGCCATTATATTTGTTAGTGAATGTTTTTGCTTCGACTGACATTTCTGTTCTTACATACAAAATAAAAAATAAATAAAAAAATAAAACTAACTTTATTTTTTCTATCTTAAGGAAATTCATGAAAATTCATGAGGGTAGAAATGAGGTTAGATATACCCATCTACCCTAAAAATTATTTTTGTTCATGGGCTATGCCCCGCCGCTTTGCGTCTTTATGTTAAAATAAATGGTACCATTAATGATATCATGACTGTTCTCGTTCATGTCTGATTTACATCTAATGAAAAAGTTTAGAAGAATTTTCTTATTCTTTCTGGCATATTTTTGTCTTTCCAGTACTCCCGCTCTAATGGTCCCAGATGTGTTGGCTTTCGACTCTCTCAAGTTCTTAGATGGTATAACATCTTCAACGCCTCCTTCATATCTTACTTTATAAGTGTCATCGTTTGTGTTATAGCCAAGTATTTCAATAACCACTCCTCGCTTTGCTTCGTCAATGGTTTCAGCAAGTTTGCCATTACTACTTTCAACTAATTTATGACGAGGATAAAACGCAATAGAGTCGTCGGCAGCTTTTATAAGATATCCATTACCTTGCGTAGAGTCTACGATATAATAATTTCGACTTAACCTTAAACGTTTCTTTGTCAACGGTTTGTCGTCAAGAACTACACGAACTTTTGTACCAGGAATGAGGGTAAATTGTGTTGAATTTCTGATATTTTGTGTTTGACTTCGTTTCTTTTGTATATACTTTTCTTCTTGTTGTTGTGTCATTGAATTTGGTGTATGTCCTGTTGTAGAATGTGTTGAGGAATTATATACTTCGAGAAAATGTTTCATTGTTTCTTCGGTAAAGTCTCGCTCTTGGTTTAAATCTCTGAGAGTCCTTATGAAGCGGTTTATGATGCCGAGTATGTTATGGTTATGGTCTTCAGTAGTGTAGTGAGTTATGTTATGCTTAATGAGAAAATCTGTGATTTCATTGCTGAGGTATGCACCGTCTTGGTCTGATGTTAAAGTACTTGGGCTATGTTCTGCTACAAACTTTTGTAAAACTCTTAACACTTCACGAGTTTCTTTATTTTTCATTGGATATGCATATGCTTTGCGAGTGTTAACATTAATGAAGATGAGGAATGGTGGCTTTCTTCCTTTTCTGCTTTGAATGAGAGTGTCAAATTGGTATGCGTCAGGAGCGTTGGAGTAAATTGGTAAAAAGTAGTCGTAAGGGTTTATTTTTGTTTGATGTACAACATTTTTGTCAAAGAACCTTTTCACTTCAGCTCTGTTAGTAAATCCCCAACTCTTTGCAGCTTCATTGAACTTCTTAAATGACCTCCATGGATGTTGTTCGAATACTTCTTTCAAGCTCATTTATGTAAAGTTAAAGATTTTATTCAAGACGGTAAGCCTTGACCCAAAGGGTCTAGGCTCAAGCGCGTTCATTGAACGCGGTACCATGCGAATACAGTCATAAATGGTGGCATATAATCTTCACCCGAGCCTGTTGGATTTGTTGTGAAAGTATGGACATGATTTCCTCCTGGTTCAGTTGGTCGAAAAGTCTTTTTTGCTGAATTGTTATAAGATGGAGATAAAACGTCATTGCCAGCTTTATAGTCTGAGTTGTATAATGGGTGGTCTCTTAATGAGTGGCTATGGTCGCCAGAAAAGTTTGTCGTTCCTGTATGAGTGTGCGCAGGTAGGTTTGCTTCAGTAATTTTCTTCGAACCTCCTGTTTGCTTTGAAGAGTTAGCACAGTATAAGAATTTGTCTACAATCTGCTGCCATGTACCAAAACCTAAAACACTTGCTGGATTTGTTGAGTTCATTGACGTATAAATAGAGCCTATAGGATATAATGTTTGAAGTATTTCAGTCTTTAATGTTTGAAGCTCTGTTTTGTCAGCTTTCTTATCATATAAATCTTGAGCAGTGAATTTAACATTATTTTCATCGTCCATGACATAAACATTTTTACAGCTAATTTCTTTCTTCGTTGTTATGTTTTCATTCGATGTTAAACCTTGTGGAAAGTTAGGAGGTTTATAATATAATGCAGCCGCGTGCGACGTGACTCCGCCCTCCCCACCAGTTCCGCCAACCGTTCCTTCAATACTTTCTATAGCAACAGTTGAGAAGGAGTTATGTGTATGATTTTTGTCTGCTTTCTTATCTAACATTGCTGGTAGTTCATGTGTTTCAAAGTTTCTGACATGACCTTCAATGTTCATACATTTGTTATTTAAGGAGTTTAGTGTATCTTTTACGCTTGTACTTGGATTCTCTAATGGTGCACTTGAACCAAGGGTATAGTTCAATATTATGTCGTCTGCTCTAACAGTAGTGAAGGATTCATGTGTATGGTTCTTGTCAGCTTTACTATTTAATGTAGCTTGAAGTTCATTTATATCGGAGATATTGTGTTTATGAGATTTCAAAACTTTGTTCGTTGCGTCAAGTTCATCTTTGTCAGCTTTACTTTTAATAGCATCTTCAACGGTTATTTTTGTCTTAACTCTCAATGTAAATCTTGGTTCAACTAATACACCGTTAACAGAGAAAGTAGAAGCATAAATTTCATCGTTATAACCAAATGCTTCTGGTGCTTTACCTGTGTCATACTGTACAGTACAGCGTATATCATAACCTTTAGCACGAATGAATTTATATCTTCTTTCATTAACATCTTCAGTGCTTATTTGTTCATCCTGTGTTAAATATCCATGGTAGTCCGTTATAATCTGTTCGTCTGAACTTATATAATGAACATGGTTCTTGACTTTATCACTCAGAGCTAAAAGCTCATTTTTGTCTGCTTTTTCGGCTAATTTCTCTTCTATCTCATTTATTTCAAGTTCATGCCTACCACCACCTCCCGAAGAAGTATTTTTCTTCAGCTCTTGAAGAACGTCCACTTCGCCATCTTTAGTGTCAATAATGAGACTTTGTGTTAAAACCTTTCCTGTCTTAATGGATGTTTGTAAAACTTCTTCTTCACCGTGTTCGGGGTCATGGTCGTCATCATATCTTGTGAAATCAGAGATGTTGTCATACATTAAGCATATCTGTCTCAAAAGTTCTGCTATTTGAAACTGGAACGAAAGATATACAGAACTTTCATCATCTCCTAAAGTCAAGTCTGCTTTCTTAAGTATTTCTTGAATGTATGCAATGAGAACAGAGTACCTTGGAAAATATTCGAACAATATTTCATTAGCTGTTGGTTTTGGTGGTTCTTCTGGAGTTTCTGTTGTTTCAGTTCCTTCTGTAGGTTCTGTTGGAGTTTCTGCATCTCTTGACTTCAATGCTCTTGCTCTCAAAGACCTAAATGTTAGAGCACCAGGTTTTACAAAGGACTTTATAAATGCTTTAATAGTTCCTGGTAAGTTATTGTTAGCATTAAGTAAGTTCCTTATGCTTCCATCATGTACGTCCATAGCACTATGTAAAAAATCTATACTTTTCTTGTAGTCAGCAATAGACTGACTGTGATTTTTTAAAGATTTGTCAATACCTTTAAGCCAATCTTCATGCATGTCTGATACTGAGCCAAGAATATCATTTGCTTCCTTTAGTGTATTTTGTGCTTCTCGTAAAGTATCCAATCCCGTACGTGCATTGTTTGCTATACGTCTTACAGTATCTATTTGACTCCTTGTTTCTTGCATCCAACCAGATAAAGTTTTAATAGTATCCGAACCATTTGAAATGAAGTTCAAAGCATTTTTAACGTCATCTAAAACTTCTTCACCAAGTACGCCCATATCTTTCCGATTTGGTATTGAAGAACTCCATATGAAGCAGCTGTTAAACCAGTATTTATAAGGTTCCATATCCATGATTTAGCAGTTTTTCCATCCTTTCCATCTTCACCATTCAAACCGTTTTCGCCTTGAGGTCCTTGTATTCCTTGTGGTCCTTGAGGTCCGGTGTCACCCTTCTCTCCTTTCAGTTCATCTTTATGTTCGTTATAATATTCTAATGTCATAAGGTGTACATCATTACTGCTACCAGCAACGCCGAGAATTTGTTTCTCATTCATGACTAAATTCTTTAGGCATTTAATGTTGTCGTCAAATCGAAAGCTCTTTAACAATTCAATGAGAACATTTAATACTTTCACTAATGAGGCATCTACTGTAGAATTTATATATTGCACCGTTCCATCATTTATGATGGGAACCTTGCTTGTTGTAATGAATGGGTCATAAGTGTTAAAAGTATCGAAATCAATGACTTTTTTAGTTTTTCCATCGTCAATGACTAAATCATTGCCTTCAATGGTTAAAGTTGAGTTTTCGTTTACTAGTTCATGTGCTCTTCTTGCTTCATTTGTTTCATACGCATATGCAGCAATAGTCATATTTTAATGAGAATAAAATGTTGTTCTATTTGCAAAGTACAGACCCAAACGAATACGGGACAGTAAAGCTACAAACAAACTTAGGTCTTCAGAATGAAGCGCTTGCTTTCAGAGTTGTTGACTTCAATACTATCGCAACTTTTGTCATAACAGATGAAACAGATTTCATAGAGATTGAAATAGATGACAAAAGAAGTGTTATAACATTTCCTAATAGAGCTGGGTATAGAATAGATAAAATTGCTGGAGTCATAGATACTCTCATAAATGAAGAAACTATTGACAACATAGATGTCGAACTCTCTTCTGAGGGAACATTGAAGTTCAGCAGCGAGAAAGAGTTTAAGATACCAAGAATGAGTCATAGAGTACAACTTCTTTTGGGTGCATACCATATGCAACTACCTTTGAAAAGTGTTGACAAAACGATTGAGATGAAATCTGTTCCATACGTATGTTATGGCAATTGTTTATACATTGAGTCTAAAATAGCTAATGTCACAGGCATTTCAGGAGTTAATAGTAAAGGTTCAGTAGAGTATAAATCTTTCTGTTATGAAGTAAATTCAATGTTCATTCCAAACGTTCCTGTCATAGCAACTCATTTAGGTAAATGGGTTCGCATTAGTCCTCATAATTTGAAAGACATGCAATTCAGACTTGTTGACTTTCAAGGAGAGCCTGTAGAACTGAAGGCACCAGTGCGAATGACTGTTGAAGTTGACTTTTTAGAAAATATTAAATGCAACAGCTTACAAGAGAACTCAGAGCTAAAAATATAAAGTATGAATGTTATGTATTAGGTCATGAACTTTGGTTGTTGCTGTTTGATGAAACAAATGAGTTAGTTATGTCAGTCAAGAGAACAGAAAAATATTGTGTTAGTGAAAACTGCACCAAGTCAATAAGATTAGGTTTGCATTATGAAGATGAGTTCGATACTGTTGAAGAAGTTTTGGATAGATATTACAAATTGCTAACTTGAATTTTTTTGACTGACGGCGCAAAGCGCCAAGATGGGCTCAAAGAGCCCTCCTGACTGCTTTAATTTACTAAAACATATTTCAAACAAAGCTTATAGTCAGTAGATAGTTTTGTATACTCGTTCGAATATTTATACTTAAACTCAACTCCTGTAGTTCCTGGTGTTTCAATGATGCGGATGTTACCTATTTTCATGAATATTGGCGTTTGACCACAGCATTCGATTTCAGGGTCGAGATAGTCAATGACACATTGTTTCCCTGTTATTCGTGAGATAATATTTTCAAGGTCCTCCTTTGTTAGAATTATTTGGTTCTTGCTTATAAGATTTGTCAAAAGCTTCTTATCGTCTTTGAGTAAAATTGTTTGGTATAACTGAAGAAGGTAATGGTCTACGTTATCTGAAGGATTTGTTTGAACATTTGTGTAAGGGTTGTCGTTGGCTTCTCTTGAAAGAACTTGGTCCAGTGGTGGATACTCTAACTTAACATCTGATGTAGCGTTAGCGTTTGAAGCTGTGTTTAAATTCACCGACTTAAGATCTGGTTCTTTTTCTTTCAAACACTCCGAACTATAGTTCTTTATGACAATATTGTTTGTTGTTCGTGAGTCAACATTTGATGTTGGTTCAATTGGAACATTAACGGCACCAGCTAAGATGGATTTGCTTCTCATTTCATATAGAATAAAAACCTTTTATATGTATGAAATGAACAATATACTCGACAAGGGTTTGAATGTAAAGCTAACGAATGAAAATATTGTTGAATTCACTGAGACAGGTGCTGTGTATAAAGATGTAGAACTACTGAACAAAAGAGCAAAGGGAAGAAGCAGGAATATGAACAAAGGGTGGAAGCCTATAAAAATTTATGTCAATGATGGCTCAGGAGGTTCAAACATAAAGTATGCAGAAAGTTATAGAGTTTATGCTCTCAAAGGTGAAAAGCCTTCATTTAAGAACAGCTATTCTAACGCATATCCTCAAAAGCTAACGGATAGGGAAGTGGATGATATGAATGACAGCAAAAATATTAACAGAAATGGCGACAGAGATGCATGGAATTTGTTTACCATCAGTCAATTGAAGGTTAAACTTTAAAACAATGTTGGTCGTTCCCATGGAATATTTTGACTTTAATGGTATTAGTCATGATATGAATCTCAAGGTATGAACGAGGAGAGATGAGAGACTTATATGCTTCCCAAATTTCTTCAAAAGGTAATGTTATACCTGACTGTTTCCAAATGAGTTCAATATCATAGCGTGAGAAACCTTGAAAGATAACGAAGTCAGTTATGAGACGTTTTATGTTTAAAGCTAAAAACCTCCATGTTTGCATAAGTATTGCTACAGTTAAATGGTAATGTCTGACTTTAGTTATGATGTTAGCTAATGGTGAGTCTGGTTTTGACACTAAACCTTTTCCGGCGAAATCATCACAAACTAATAAAGTGTTTGAAGGATACTTTTTGAAGGGGTATTTTGAAAGTTTTGACAGAATGTAGTTTGTAAGTCGTTTCATATCGTAAACTCCTGAGTATTGACGTAAGTGGTGTTTGTCAATAATTCTTTCCATCTCTTCTGAAGTCTTTTGCATTCCTGACTGTATAAATTCAACGATGGCATAATATTTCCTCTTACGTCGAATGTAACGTTGAAGAAATTCGATGAGTTCACTGTCTGGAACTTTAACGACAGAGGCTTGAACTTTTGACATAAATGTTTTCGCTGTTGAATCCATAGAGTCTGAAGTTGCTGATATAATGATTTGGTCATAGTAAGAGTCGTTTCCTAAACGTTCTGTTATGAGTATATGACGAATGAGGTTGAATGTCTTTCCTGAACCCATCTTTCCACAATAGAAATACACACCATTTGAACAGAATTCATAATCTTTGCTGAAAGGAAGAATAAGAGAAGAGTTAAGTTTGTCTGTAGTTTCATTCATGTCTTCATCTACATCATGTATTAAATGCTTCATTTTATCTCCATTAAAAATGCAAGTCAGAAATATTCAGAACATAGCACCGAGTCTAACTGACAAGAGTATAAAGATATACTATGAACATGTTATGATGAAACCAACCAAAATTCAAGAAAGTCAGTATACTTATGAATATCCAAGACACTGGGTAGAGTATGTAGGAGGTGAGAAAGCTATTGAAATCAGACAGGTTCGAAGTATTCCAGCAGGAAGAACAATATTATTGAAGAACTTTAATGTTTTGAGATATAATGATGAAACAAAGAAGCAAGATAGTTTTCCTGTTGCTGTGTATGTGAACCTAGACACAGGAGATGACATGAAAGTTTTTAACACAAAGCTTCAAACGGTAGTGAGAGAACAACTGACTGCGGAAGGACATCCATTACCTTCAGAAGTTACCATAGCATATAATTTTGAAACAAACTCAATAGATTTTAAAGTCATCTCTGCAAAGAAGTCAGGTTTTACATTTAATGAAGCAGATGTATATTCGAATGAAAACTTCAAAGCTATTGCATGGTTAGATAATGACGATTGCTTTAAGAAAATCTTTAAATTCAGTGACTCAAAGATGTCAATAGATGACCTTCGTGGAATGTTACCATCGACGTTTACAGTTGAAGGTTCAGCAGGATTGCTTACAAGTTTTTCAATTGGTGGTATTTGGTCTCGTGAGAACATTGTTATAAAATCCAGTATAAGTGAATTTGCTGAAGAATCTATATTATGTCTTTCAAACTACATGTATTCGCCGCCGAAGCATTATAGTATAACAAACTTTGTCAGTAAGTTTAACATAAGACTTGTCGAACCTTCTTCAATGAAAGATGTTGTGCTACCTAAAGATGGAAAGGATGGACTCATTATTGAGATGATTTTAATAGCATATTAAATGAGCTTGTTCTTGAAGGTCATTCATGATGAAATAACTGTTGTAGAAGATGTTAGCAATTGTTCAGACATTTTGAAGCGTATAGATGATATAAGAAATAAGTTAGATAGACCGCAAAGCGGTGAGGGCGAAGCCCGTGAGAACGCTTATGTTTCATTGACTTTCTCCAGTAACGAGAACTTTTATGAGATAATATTGAAGAGAGATGATTTTAATATGGTGTAAATGGTAGCTTGGGTAGCTTTAGGCGCAATGGGAACAAAAGCATTAGCATTTGGAGCAAAAGCACTTGGAGCTTATGACGCAGTAAATAAAATGAGTGGAGGAAGAGTTTCGAAGACATTAGATGCAAATAAAGGGAAGATTGGAGGTTGGGTTGCAAAGAAGTTAAGATTAAATAAAATAGGGCTCATAAATAAAGCATCCAATTTGGTTGCGACTGAGTCAGAAAATGCTTTAGGAAAGGATGATGAGTTTGCAAAACATGCAAAAGACTTTAATGACCAGATGAAAGGTGAAACAATGCATTTAAATAGAGTCGATGGAACTAAAGAAAATGTTTCTTCTCCACCAGTAGTTCTTCCGTATAGTCCCTATGGAATGTATGGAAACCCTTACGAAAGACCATTTGACCCATTGACTGGTGGAAGTAACTGGTATCGTTACGGCCGAAGAAGAAAGACAGTCAAGTTGGAGACAGACATGAAGAAAGCAACTAAAAAGAAACCAAGGAAGAGAGTTATAAAGCAATGAATTCAACAGGGTGAAAAAACAGGTGAAAAACCAGGTGAGATCTCACCACTTCACCTAAATTTATTTTTGTGCTATGTTTTCATACGCGTGAGGGTGGTGATATCATTAATTTTTAAGTTTATTTTTATATAAATGACGAAAACTATTGAGATAACAAACTACAACGGTCATGAGTTCAAGAATTTGTTCTTCGTTCCTCGTGAAAATACATTCTATCAGATACGAGGGAGAAAGGGTAAAGTTAGTTTGAGCGTTTATGACTACAAGCATAATGGAAAGTTTATACAAGCATATGATACAAACGGTAAGCGTGTTTCATTAGCTTTGTCAAAACTTACAGGTATAAACTATGACAGTGATTTTGACCTATATGAAGAAGAAAGTGAGTCAGAAGATTATGAGCTGTTATATGAAGCACAGCAATGGGAGGAGTTGCAATACTTTTGTAAGTGAGAACGTTTATTTTTACATTAGTAAAGTCGTTTGTGAAAACATTAGTGAGGTGAAGTGGTTGGTGGCTTTGTAAATATTTAAGGTTAAGTTAGTGTTGTCGTTTGTGTTGTAAAATATACGTTAACGGTTTCGTAAAGTGTCAAATTCACAAGTATTGGGTAAGGAGGCGCGCAGTGCCGCCGTACCCATGATATGTATACTAACTGCCAACAGTTATTAGAGATGTCGCACTTGATCAAGCAGTTAAAATTGCTGGATCAAAGGTCAAAATAACAGGCAAATTCGTTGATTCTGATGCTAACGAAAAGATCGTATTCAAGGCATTAATGGGCAAAAACTCACAGGAATGTGTTTCAGAACAATACACAACATTAGGAAACGCAACTGAACGCACTTTCTCAATGGAATGCCCAGTTCCAAGTGATGCCACAGGAACTATTCAAGTTACATTCTTTGGCTTAGATTCAATGGGTTCTAAACTTGGTTTACAGAAACTCGATTTAACTGTAAAGTCACAGATCTCTTATTCCACATTAGAAAAACCAACTGCCACTACATTCTCTAATGACGAAAGCTTATCTTTCAAGTTCAACATCAATGATAATTCAAATGGCTATGTTAAGATCATTGTTGATGACACAGAACGTGAAAATCCAGAATTCCGCGCAGAAGGAAAGACATCAGTTGAATTCCCTTATTCATTGACAGTTAACAGTGCTAACAAGCTCGAATATTCATCAGGTAAGCAGCATACCCTTGTTGCAAAGTTCTATGATGGATATGGAAACAAGGCCGATCAAGATTTCTCATTCTCCTTCTATGTCCTCAACACTCCAATCTTTTCCACAGTTGATATAACATCAAAACAAGTTGAACCAGGTCAGTCTCACAATTTTGTGTTAAATGTAAGAGACTATGATAAAGGAAAGATGTTATATGGTATGGTAAAGATCGGAGATAGCTGGAGATCTGTTGGATCTATTCAATCTAATGGTGACCTAATTCAAATTCCTTGCACACTTGAGATTACAAAAACTGGAAAATACACTTATCCAATTTGCGTCTCAAGCAATCAAAATGTTGCTCAAGCAAGTAATAAAGAAAGGACACAAGAAGTTGAACAAGAATTCGTTGTTACTCAACTCCCACGTCTTCAATTAACTGTTACCGGATACGATGAAAAGATCTTCAACAAGACAGAATCAATTCCACTCCAATTAGAAATATTTGATGACGGACATGGTACAATTTCATATACATTAGGTTCAAAATCAATCTCTTTGCCAGATGCTGATACAAAGTATGAAGTTCCATCCGGAAAGACATCCGTTACTAAAACAGTTAATATCCCACTTTCTGGCATAGATGTCTATTATAGAGCTAGCGCTTTCACCATCGATGTCATAGTTACTGATGATACCGGAACAACATCTGAAAAGAAATCATATTCATTCAATATTAAGAACGCTCCAAAGTTAATATCTGCAACACCAAACAAATATCAATTTAAAGATACTGAAAGTGATATAATAATCTATACAACAATCGAAGACATTGATTATCCTAAGCCATTAACATTATTAGTTCAAGAAGGATCATCTAGTCCAAAATTATTTGATATGCAAAATCCAAAACGTCAGCCAACATATATAAACAGTCAAGTAACATTCACAACACCATCAATTTCTATTTCATCTCCTAATGGTGCGAATATCCCTATAACTGTTTGGGTTGAAGATGATTTGGATGAAGGTTACGATTCAAGATTCGGTGAATCTAACAAGATTACATTTTATGTAAACAAGTCAAGTACTCCTTACGTTAGATCAGCTTCATTCCCTAATGATAACAATTTCAGAAAAGATGCAGATTTTTATCTTAGAGCTACCGTCATGGATGATACAAATGGCAGACTCATGATCACAGTTGACGGTAATGAATTACCAGTTCACGTTCCTTATTCATCTGTTGAGGGTGTAGCAAATGTTGATACATCATTTTCTCTCAAAGGTGTCCCAGTTGGTGATGATCACAAGATGGTTGTAATGGCTGTCGATGAATTTGGCTTTTATGCATCTTCACCAAAATATACAAGATCATTTTCCTTTAATGCTAAGGAGCCAATGGAATTGTCAAATATGAGATTAAGTAAGGAAACTGCTGAAAATGATGACACAGTCACTGTTTCAGGACATGTCAAAGATCCCGCTGGAAAAACATCAGTTTATATTATACAAAAGATTGACGAAACATCACCAGTTACACTTGGAAGTGTCACATTATCAGGTGGAGAGAGTGATTTCACTTACAATCTCAAGAACTTGAATAACTTCCTCTCTGGAGAACACAATATTTCCATTATTGCATCATATTATGATCCATTGAGTCCCTACAAGTCAATTGCATATTCAGAACCATATGTTCTTAAATTAACACTCTCTAATGATCCAGAATTTGTTGTTAGCTGGCCATCAGATTTATTAACAGCTTATTCTACTGTTAAGTTCACATCAACAGTTACAAAGCAAGATTTGGCACTTAAGTATACATTTACAGTTAAGAATATATCAACTGGTGCCACAAAGACTATCCTTCAAGATACAACATTCTCAAAGGATGTTACGAAAGAATTTACATATAATACAGAACTATTTATTGGAAAGGCCGAATTCGCTGTTACAGCAACAACAACAGCTGGAAAATACATAACACAAAAATTCATATGCGTTATTAAAGATAGATTTGTTTTCAAGACATCATCAACAGAAATCTATGGATCAAAGAAATACACAACACCCGGAGGAAAAGTTGAAATTGGTTTCGAATACTGGAGATATTATCATGAATCATATACATCAAAGTATTACCTCTACTATGAACTTAACGGTGTTGTTAATTACAAGTCATTTACAAAGCAATATAAAGGTTTGAATAGTGAATTCTTAGAGTTCACTGTTCCAGATGCAACACCATCAGGAAAACACCAACTCACATACTGGATTCAGGAATACGTTGGTGATTATAACAGTAATATACCAACAGCTGTTTCCGATAAAGAAACATTTGCTCTTCCAGTTACAAAACAAGCATCTCTTTTACCACAGTGGCCATCTGATTCCGATCAGAGCAGCACTGAATCATTCATAGTTAAAATTACAGTAACAGATGACTCCTATGGCACATTATACTTCCAACTTGATGATGTAACAACACCATTTGATTCCATGCCATATAAACAGTCTGATGTTGGAAAACAATTAACGAAGTCTCTTACATTAACAACAGCCAAATACGGAAAGCACAAAGTATATGTTTATGCAATTGATGAATATGGCGAGAGATCATTACCTTGCGACGATTATGACGTATTTGTTAGAAATACTCCACAAATATTAGATGTTGAATTCAGTGATAGCTATACACTTATAGGTGACCAAGCTTGGTTCGACGCAAAACTTACAGATAAAGACCAAGGTAAGAAGATTTACTGGTTTGCAATAATGAATGGCAATAAGTACAGATTGGATGAAGATGATCCTACAATTTCAGTAGGTTCATCACAGAGTATTTCCAAGTATATCCAAATCCCAGAAAACGCTCAAACAGGTACTTTTACAATCACAATTTATTGCTCTGACATAAAGACTGGTGACCTTCCATCAAATATGAACAATGCTGAATCCAATCATGTTGAACTTTCACATAAAATTACTTTCCGCCCAGAAGCTGTCATTAACTCAATTAACAAGTATGAATTCTCTGACGGAGATCAATGCATAATTTATGGTGTAATCAAAGGTGATGGTGATGTTAAAGTTACACCATATATCGGCGGTAAATCATTTAAGAATGATGCCAAGACAATTTCTTGCACAAGTCAATTCAAACAGTTCTCAATTTCATTCACAGTTTCCAAATCTATAGCTAACTACAACACATACGGACAAACTGTTTATGTTTCTCTTCTTGGCGTTAATAATGTTGCATCTAATCCATACAGGATCAGTTATGACACCAAATCAGTAGTATATAAGAACAAACCAGTAATTAATTCAGTTACACTTGATACAGAGGACATCGTGATTGGTCAAACAGTTTCAATTACTATCTCATATGATGATATCGATACTACAAAGTATGTTTTCTTCTATGCTTATCTTGACAAAGGAAACACACCACAACTTATTGGAAAGACAGATGGTTATTATTCCACAGGAAGAACAGGACAATCAGTTAAAGATCTCAATTTCAAAGTTAGTACAACATTTGGTGACCACAAATTATACGTCATTGCTTCTGATAGAGATCATTTCGATGAAGTTGTTTCAACTCTTGATAACTCCGAACCATTGGAGAAATCTATCTATGTAACATATGCTCCACAAATGCTTGTTACTAAACTTACAGAAAAAGAATACTTCACACCAGATCAATTAATCGAGTTCAGTGTTGATGCCATGGATGACAAGACTGCAAACGTTAATGTTTACATTGATGATAGTTCTGAACCAGCTCAGGTAGTTGAATTCGTTTCCAACAATCAGCAGCTTAATAAGAACATCAAAGTTGATATTTCTTCTCTCAAATACAGTAACAACAAGCAACACCATATCCAATTGGCTATTGTTGATGACAACAAGAAGCCAGGCCAACCATTTGATTTCTACTTCTATGTCAGAACTAAACCAGTTATTAGAGAAGTTATTGCTGAAAAGAATGTTGCTTTGAGAGATGATTTCATCAATATCAAAGTCAAGTATTTCGATGCCGATGATGGCAAAGAACTTTACTTCTTCTACAGAATAGAAGGTGAGTCTGATAAATATAAGGAAAGATTCACATCTCATAATACCGAAAACACATTAAGTACACAAGTCAGAATTGAAAAGTCAATTCCAAAGGGCCAGAAGAAAGTTTACTGCTACATCACTGATGATCAAAACTTCAAATCCGAAGAAGTTCCATTTGATTTACTCATCACAGACAGCCCAGTTCTTTCATTGACAACACCATCAAATACAGTTTATCAGGATGGTGAAAGCATCAGTTTCTCTGGTGAAATCGAATCACAATATGATGTAACATTACATTTCAAGATTGATGAAGTTGAACTTGAAACAACACAGAAAGTCCAGATTAAGTCCAACCCACAGAAGTTCGATGCAAAGGTTCCACTCCCAGCACAATTCGTTTATGGTGATTACACACTTTACGTCTATGGAGTTGATGCAAACGGAATTTTGACAACAATCAAATTATTCAAGTTCCAAGTCAGAAATGCACCAAAGATTTCTGAGGTTAAGCTCAGTACAAACCAGACATTCCCAGGAAAGACACTCTCAATTTCAGGTTTAGTTAAAGATAATGATATCGGAAACTCAATCGATATCAAGTATTCTCTTGATGATGCTCCAGATGTTAAGGTCCAAACACTTCTTTCTGATGCAACAGAACAGAAGTTCTTCTTCGAGATTACACTCGCAGAAAAGATCGCATTTGGAGAACACAAGGTCGTAGTTTATGCTATTGATGATGATAACTACAAGTCTGAAGAGATAAATCTTCTCTTCAAGGTTTATGATCCATCAAAGCCAATCGAAGAACAAGAAGACAATAAACAGGATTCTAATAATACAACCGGCAAGAAGAAGACAAATGCAACATTAATTGCATTAGTTGTTGTATTCAGCTGCGTCCTTATTGCATTGGTTATTGTTGCTGTCATTCTCTGGAAGAAGAAATCCGGATCAAGAGCAACAAACAACGCTCCATCTTCTGATCAGGAAGATGATCTCCAGGTTGCAGAAGAAACAATGACAAATACAACAACTACACAACAAGAAGTTGCAACAACAGATAATCCATTATTCGTTGAAGATAATTCTGATCCATTCAAAGATGAATTCGAAGAAGAATCAATCGATTCTGTTAATGCTTAATTTCACCCTTATTTTATTTCATTTTCATTTTTGTTTCTTTGGTTTTTATCAAAGAGTTTAAACCTAGATTTTACATTTTAATTTGATTTCTTTTGATCACATTATCTCATTAACTATCAAGGGTGCTCTTACGCCCATCTGACTTTAAATTTTTGGCAACAGGCCTGAAGAATCATTGATGATTAAACTTAGTCTACATAAGACGCGGGTGTATTCTTAAAATATTGATGATATTTAGTATTATAAAACCTTTTATTTTTCAGGAAAAATTAGTAGTATATATATGCGGGTTGTGTGACTTTTTTTGTAAACGTAAGAATTCATACAATATAGAACGATTTTGTATCATTTAAAATTAACATTAATTTTAAAATAATTTATTTTTTTTATTTTTACATAAATGACCCAACAAGTAAAACCAGATAAAATAGATAATAGAAAATTTTTCATCTTTGATATCTATTATTGCCCAAACGTGTATGGACTACATGTAGAACTTAAAATAAAGGAAAGGGATACATATGAAGAATATATAAAATTTTGTAGAAAAAACGATTATATACCGGAGTCAAAGAATATATTCTTGCAAAATATAAAACCTATTATAAAGGTCGGAAAGATTAAATTTCCGTGCATAGTAGAAATATACTTAGATGATGTATGTGACGAATTTCACAGACTAAATGAAAAAAAGACTTTATATAAAGATTTTGTTAAATTTCTTATTGAAAATTATTTGAAGCCTGAACATGTGATTCCAAAATATCACGGATGATATTTTAAAAAATATATTTCATCTGATAGAAATAATTATTTTCATGAATAAAAAATTGACTTCTTACGTAAAATTAAAACTAAGTTAAATTTATTTTTTTATTTTTTATTTTATAATAAATGAGTATAACAACTAATTCATTGAAATCTTTAAAGTTCACTAATTCAGAATTAGAAAATATTTTAGAAAATTTTGGAGACGGTTCTTATCCAACATATATGCAGAATGTGAAAGAGTTTTCCAGATTGTTGAATGAATTTAAATATAACGGACCAATTACTAAAAAGGCTATAATGAGATATTTATATCCCAAAAAAGTTGAAAAACAGGAGAATATTCCTCTTTATGGTCCAGAGGACCTGGGCTCAGAGAGCCTTGAAACACCTCCTGAATATTTTGAAGAAAAAATTAAACAAGATGAATATTATAACGATGAGATTGAGAAATTGGAACAATTAAGAAATGAAATAGATGAAAGAATTAAGGAATTGAGAAATGCTGAGAATGAAGTAGAGGGTTTAATGAATATCCCAGCTTCAGAATCAGAAGTTCAAAAATCACATGAGGAAAGATATAAAAATTACTTTTTGGAATCAACACAAAATTTATTAGATGGTGATATTGACGAAACACTTTCAGAAGAAGGCACAAAATTTATTCATAAACATAAGCTTCAGTTTATTGACGATGGAGATTATCCATGTATATTACTTTCACCTCCTCTTGATTCTGAAAAATTCAAAAAAGCACTGAAAAATGTAACATATGCAACAAATACGATTAAGAAAGAAGACCATGATATTTACACAAATTATTATTTAAATAAATGTACAGGTGTTGATAAAGTTTTTGATTTGTTAGATAAAATATCAAAAGAAACAATTGGTACATATAAAATTTTATGCGATTGTGGTTTCATTATTGAAGATACCAATAATGTTTCATATGAAAGAACAGCACCGAAGGAAGACGAAGTTGAAAGGTCTATACCATTCGTTATTAAGAACATAAAAGATATGAAAACTTATAAACATTATATTTATTCATTTATTTCAGAAAAAATGGAAGCAACCCATAAAACATCATCTCATCATTTTATAGCTATTCATACATTCCTTTTCAAAGTTGTGAAATTAAATAAGACAGGAATTAGATTTAATGTATCAGGGTACGCATTCTTGAGTAAATTAAAATGTATTCGTCACGTCGCAGATGATAAAAATTTATGTGTTCTTAATTCATTTTATGGACTTTAGCCCTGGACTCTCTGAGTCTCGGACTTTATTTTTATTTTTTTTTAATTTTTATTCTTACATAAATGAACAAAAATGGAACAGCTAAAATGAATGATAATCAAATAAGAGCCGAAGGTAGAAGGTTATTTAAACGCTTCTATAACATTCCTGATGGTGTTAATCCTAAAACTCGTAGAAGTTATTTAAATGAAGCCATAGATGCATATGAAGGATTTGACATTTCATCAGAAAGTGAGAGGTTAGCAAGAATGTTAAACGTTAATATTGATTTTTATTATTGTGACCCTCAACCAGAAGACGTAGACATTAACAAGGTAGACTTTCCATTAGTGGAATCAATAATGATAGATCCAGAATTTGAAACAATAAATATTTTATTAACACAGAGTCCATGTGGAAAACTTCACGCTGACAGAATTACAGACGTTGAAGCACTCACAGGATATAAAGTTTGCCCCTTTTGCAAAGAAGAAGTATATTCTATCCGTGATGATCCAGAAAGGAAAAACCAAAGAAGATTTTTAAAACATTGTGAGAAATGTAAAGAAAATAATGGAAGATTAATTCAAGACGTTCAATTGCAAAACACACAACAACCATATGCACCACATATCACGAAACAGAAGATATATCAATGGCTATTAGCACATAATTTGCAGGAATATTATAAACCAACAAGATATTATATTACTTTTGACTTCGAAACATTAGAGACTAAAGAAGAACTTCAACTTTCTGAATGTGCAACTTTGAACGCTTACTTAAAACCATTCATGGTATCATCAACTGTCAAAATAAAGCCGCAAAGCGGCGAGGTCGTAGACCGTGAAAAAACATTTACGAGGAATTTTTGCTTAACATCAAGTGATTCGTTCATCTCTGATTGGATTGAATTTTTATTTTCAACCTGTTCATTAGTTGCTAAATCAAATATTGAACAATATGAAGAATTATTGAAGCCGCAAACGGTGGGGACTTTGTCTCATACATTAAATGAAAAACAGAAGGAAGCAATGAAAGAGCTTTTAGATGAGGAATTCAATAAAGTGAATATCATTGGTTTTAATTCGGGAAAGTTTGATTTAAATTTAATTCTTCGTGATTTAAATACTGCAAAATGGAAGATAAAATCAATGCTGGGTTCTTCTTCTCAATTTAAGCAAGTCATAGTAAAGAAAACAAACTGTCCATATGAATTAAGATTTATTGACATCAGAAATTATATAGCGGGTGGAACATTAGACCAATTCACTCAAGATTTCGGAAACAATAAATCACGTGTTAAATCCTTTTTCCCTTATCAATTCATCACATGGGAGAATTACGAAGAAGAATTATATAAAGTGGAACCATTCACTCAAGATTCATTTTATTCAGCATTAACTCAAGAAACTATATCCGATTCAGATTATCAAATATATCTCAATGATGCTAAAAATTTTGAGAATAGATTAGAATATTTTATTCATTATTGCAATAAAGACGTTGAAATTATGATTGACCCAATTGATAAAATTATCGAAGAAACATTTGTTTATAAAATTGACATGCTTCATAATCTTTCTTTATCATCGAATGCATCAATGATTCGTTACGCGTTAGCATATAAGAACTTCAATCCTAACGAAACATATCCTGAGGAAGAGATAGAATCAAGTTTTGAATTAACGAAAAAGTATTGGAAATATAAAATTGAATCATATAAGAAACAAGATGAAAAAGCAGAAAGAGATACTAAAAATAATGTTTCAACGGATGACTATCAATACTATCACGATTTAATCCTTTCATCTAAATGCAAAATGTGTGGTAAAGCGTTTACATATGTAAATAAACCAACATTGGATAGAATCGATAATGAAAAACCACATACCAAAGAAAATTGTCAGTTAATGTGTTGTTATTGCAATGTCGTAAAATCAAATAAAGATGAAGATGTTCAACGTTTAAGAATCAATTTAAGAAATTATGCATTAAAAAATAATTTACCAATGACTTTAGATTCAGTTGAAGCTTATCACATTCTCCGTAATGGAATTACTGGTGGTCTATCAAATGTTCAACATAGAGTAAATCTTAAAGGAATCACACACATTAATAAACTTTCATATAATCCAGAAACTAAAACTGTATCAAATGAGGACACCACCAACATTATGACTCATTTCGTTGGTGTTGATTTTAATTCATTATATCCTTCATCATTTTCATCTAATCCTCATGATTTCATTCAATATACTGACCATAAAATGTATATGCCGGGAAGATTGAAAGGTGTTATCATTTGTGATACAGCAACAAAGAAAGCAAAAGCACTGGGAATTATTAGAAAGAAAAATACTTTATTCGTGGCTGAAGTAAAGGGTCACATTGATGAAAAATACATTAATGATTACATAAACTTTTTACCGATAATAAGAAACTTAGATATTATCACAGATGAAAAAACAATTGGCAGTTTTATGTATAATTACATGAAATCAAACAATCTACCAGTTGACCAGAAACAGAGAAAATTAACTCAGTTAGCATCAACACACAACCAATATCAACCATTTTCTTCTTATTATCTTTGGTATCTAATAGACAAATTTCATTTTATCATCGATGACATTCAATCAATTTTAACATTTACTAAAAACACTTGTTTTAATGAATTTGCGAACAAATTTATGAACGAAAGACAAAAGGCTGAATTAGAAGGAAATAAAGGAAAAAGTTTATTTTGTAAGATTTCGCTTAATGGATCATATGGTTACGATGCAATGAATACACAAAATTACGCAAAGACTAAAATAATGAATGCACAGAAGGCACGCGTTGCATGTATGTCAAATAAGTTTAAAAACATAAGAGAAATAGGTGAAGATACATATCAAGTGATGCTTAAAGATAGATTTTATAGATGTGATACATGTTTACAAGAGGCATTCTTCACTTTAGATAATGCTAAATACTGGTATTTGGTTTTCATTTATGATTTTATGTATAAATGTATGGATGTTAATCGTTTTCATTTCATTGAAGGTGATACTGATTCATCTTATTGGGCAATCGCTGGCGACCCAAATCTTCCTAACACTCAAGCATTTCAAGCAATTGTTACTGATAAACAATTTTATGATAAAAACATTTACAAATTCACACCATTTGATTTCTTTTGTTTTGATGAGAAATTTAAACCTAAATTAAAGAATAAAGCTGAAGAAAAAGCACATGAGAAGAAGTTATTGGGTTTAGCAATTGAGAAACAAGGTGATAACATGGTTGCTTTATGCCCCAAGTGTTATACATCATTCAACGGTTCAATTGATGGAAGTGATTTTAAAAAGATTGCACAAAAAATGAAAGGAGTTAGTTTACGACAAAATAAACAATTAACACTTAAAAATTATTTGGATATAATAAATGATAAAGTGATATTTGATGGTCAGAATATTAATTTACAACTTAAAAACGGGTCTATGACCCGCTTAACAATCGGTAAGACTGCATTAACAGGAGCACACACTAAGGCTGTATGTTGTGAAAATGGATGTTGTATGCCATTTATTTAATACAATTTGAAATTTTATTTTTAATAAAATGCCACAGAACAGACAAAAGGAATCAAAGAGGCGGGCGCCCTTAAAACATTTATTTTATTTTTATATAAATGGATGATTTTAAAATTTTATTGGATGATGATGATGCTGGTAATTTTAAAATTCCAATGGATGAAATAGATTTAAAAAGATTGATTGATGCTTTAATACGTGATCAAAATTTTCTTAGTTATTATGAATTAAAAGAATATCTCCAAGGATATGATAACACTATAATGAGTGATGATATGGATTATTATTATCCGTATTATAAAAATGAAGTTTTGAAATATCATGAAAGAATAATTTCTAAAATTAAAGACAAAATTGAAAATAATGAATATAAAAAGGGAAAAACTAAATCACAACTTAAACAATTGAAAGATTTCAAAAATAAAGTATTAACAGAAAAAGATATTGATGAATTATATAATTTATATAATCCTGAGCCACAAAAGCCAAAGGAACAAAAGCCAAAGGAACAAAACGCCCAGGTCATTCAGACCATAAATGATGCACGAGCTTTAATTTATGATTCATTAGTTAAACCATATTCAGCCCGACTTTTGAATGAAGATCAACTTTTGGAATTCATCCTTCAACATAAACTCGAAGCAGGAAAGTATATCAAACCTTTATATACAGCATATTTAAAACAAATGAATAAAATACATCCAGAATTAATGAAAGAAGGAATGAAATCCAAAACTTCATCATTCAAAATCAAAGCAGATAAAATTAAACCAAAACCTCCAACAGTAGTACCTCCTCCTTCAGTTAATACTTCATCATTCACTTTATTATATCCATTTCAAACATTAAAGAAGCAAAAAGATTTTAAAAGGGATTTCAAGATATTAAATAAACCAACTGACCCAAAAATTCAACCATTAAAGGAAAAATTTAGTCGCCCCTCATTTGCACCATATCCATATTCATACGAAATCGATCATTTAGAATATTCAAAAGGAAACGTTACTTATTTATTTGCCATTAACATTAACACAAGATATTTATATTGCATTCCGGTGAAAGGGAAAACAGAACAGGAAACAAGAAGAGCTATTCAATACTTACTAGATCATGAAAGAGTAGATAATATCAAGGGTGATGGTGATAAAGGATTTCAGGCAGCTATGACTCATTATTTCCCACAAATTAATTTTTACTTTTCATCCTCTCCATATACGTTTCATAATAAAATAGTTGATGCAGTAATGAGAACTCTTAGAGTTGCGTTAGGGGTTAACGGTCAGATATACTGGGATGGAAATCATGACTCCATCATACAACAGTTAGTATATTATTACAATAATACATGGCATAGAACTATAAACATGAAACCGGTGGAAATGAAAAATGATATTTCAAAAGAATGGGAATATATTAGAAAGCAAATGGAAAGGTTGAATGATGTTAAACATGAACAAATTAATTCGGGGCTCATGAATTTTAAACAAGGGGATAAAGTTTTGATTCATCTCGATTATGGAAAAACTGATAAATCAATGACAAAAAGAAGACGAAGATTTGACACAATAGCTGAATTTGTTAGATATATTAACGGCAATGCATTAGTTGAAGTTGACAATAAATTAATAGAAATTCCGATTTATTTTATTACTCCATTATATTTAAATAATATTTAATTTTTTTATTTCGTAAGAAATGAGTGACAACGAAGCAGCCAAGAGTCCAGACGATGAATATAAAAAGAAACTAAACAGAATTAAATCAAAAATATGCTATTACAAAAAGAAGCCGCAATGCGGTGGGGTTGAAAACGATAAAGAGAGGAAAGAAATAATCGAAAAATTAGAAACTTACCGTTCAATCCTTAAACTGAGTGAAGCAAAAATAAAAGAATTTAATAGAATAAATAAATTGGTTGGAAGAGATGAATTTAATAAAGATGAATTTTTAAACTCAATCCAAATTTAATTTTGATTCCTCTTTGACAACATCTCTCTTTCCATCATTACTGCATAACCACATTTTCTCAATTTTAGTGGTTTGTTATTTTTAACATGTTCTCGCATCATTTTTATCATTTCCTCCCTTGTTATGATTCGGGGTAAATTTTGAGCTTGTGGGGTATTCATTTATGATAAAAATAAAAATTGAAATTATGCCGTTCTAAAGTTTGTGACAACATGACATTTTGACAACAGTCCCGGAAATGATTTGTCATGACTTCATCGTAATGAGTGTAAATGACCCAAAAATAATGTTTTCATTAATGGTTTCAGGTCATTCAAAAATACTTTATTTTTGAAGAACTGAAGGTGTCACTACGTCACTCGGTGTCACTCGGTTATTTAAATTCTCTGAAAAAATGAGACAACATGACATTTTGACAACATCACTGGAAATGATTTGTCATGACTTCATCGTAATGAGTGTAAATGACCCAAAAATATATTTTATCGTTAATGGTTTCAGGTCATTCAAAAATACTTTATTTTTGAAGAACTGAAGGTGTCACTACGTCACTCGGTGTCACTCGGTTATTTAAATTCTCTGAAAAAATGAGACAACATGACATTTTGACAACATAGGGGGATTAATGCAAAAATAAATTCAAATCACACTTTATAAAGCTTCATTTACAGGTATTTCATCGTCAGTAAATGATTCCTCATTATCGTTTGGTTCAACCTGTTTATATAATCCTTTCATTTCTTCTTTCAAAACATAATACCATGTCTGTTTACCATCTATTCTTCTCTGTTTCTTATCACATTTATCTTTAATGCTCATTTGAAAATTCTTGTCTTTCATGTCTGATGGTTTGCAGAATAAAGCATTTTTACATATCATACCTGCACACAATTCATCATAATGTGTATTTATCCATGCATCTAAAGGATTTGTTGATAATTCAATTAAATCTTGTTTGGCTTCAGTCATCGGTATGATTCGTACATTAAATGATGAAAGGTCATATTGCATAAAATACGTCAGCAAATTATCATAAAATTCCTTTGTGCATGAATTCATCAAATTCTTGAAGTAATCAAATTGACCCTTAAATTTACCATTGACCCTTAAAACTACATATCTTCTGTCTCCAACTTCAATTTTGACAGGGTAGACGTTATTAGTTACGAAAATGAAGTTTGCAACGTTTTGTGCTGTTCTTCTGGGTTGATTCTTTTCATTAATTCTAATCTCATTATCCGTAATAATTGATTTCAAAGCGTTGAAGTTTGCGAGTCTATCTTCACCTACATTCTTGAGTTCATTAAGTACAAGAAACATTTTATTCTCAACTACTGAATTGAAATTACCCGTTAGCTCACTTATTTCAGTAATGTTTTTACATGAATAACCAGCGAGAAGTTCAGAAATAATATCTGTAAATCTGTTTTTACCTGTTCCCTGAAGTCCTTTCAAAATAATTGCTGTTTCATTCTTGATTCCAGGATGTTGAATCATTGATGCAATCCAGCCGAGAAGGTATTTATACACTTCATCGTTATTATCACAAATGGCTTCTTTAATGAAATTCATAAACATCTCAATTTTTGAGTAATCAGGCTTTTCAAGAATGTTGTATTTATAACCCTGAAACGTTGAGAAAACATCTGGGGAATCAGATTTAAAGCAAACACCCTTAACGGTTAATGAAGACAATTGATTTAGTAGTACATCCCATGCTGTTATTGTTTTACCTTCTTCTTTAAATAATTTAATCATTTTGAGTGACTCTTTCATGTTTGACTGAAGAACAAATGATATTTGATTCATTTTGTCGTGTATGTTGTAATCTTTCTGAATGAAATATTTATTTCCACAATCTACAAAACGAATTACACGTGATAAATCCTCAATTACTTCAGAACTGTTTTTATACTGATGATTTTCAGCCTTGCGTCTAATATCTGTTATCAAAAACGAGTCATCAAGTTTGATATCAAATGTTATTTTTGGCTTACGTAATAAAGGTAAAACATATTCATCATAATATTCCTTTTGATATAGTTTTAGAATCTTCACTAAAACAAATGGAGAAGTCATTAAATGTGCATATCTACTACGTGCATTTTCAAAATTACTTTTTGCATTTTCTGTTAAATTGCAGAAGTTATAAACGTTGTCGTATGCTTCATTAATTAAATGATTAGGTAACGAATTAATTGCTTGAAACAGTGTGAATAATGTAACTTCTTTTTCTAAATTCATGTTTCCACCATCATTATGTACTTCAAAATCACAGATGCCATCAACTATGCTCTGGGCAAGTTTATCGTCAATGTTTACATCTTTGTTTTCATTGACGATGGTCTTTATTTCTTCATTCTTCTGTTCAACTCTTACCTTAATATTCAAATCATTTAATACATCGTTTACTGTTCTGGTTAATGTTGAATCATAACTTCCACGAATGAATGAGTATGTATTGATTGGTTCTGTTGCATTCTTGCGAACTCTTGAATCAGCCATAACTACTAAAGAACGCTTTGAATCATCAATAGAAGTCATTATGTCAATATCATAATCATTGCAGGAATAACATTTAATCATTCTGTTCGAAACTGCATAGAAGAAATTAGTGTTGCAATAAATGTGAAGACCTCCTGAAGCGGTTTTAACGATAACATCTTTATCCGAAAGTTTTGATAAAATGTCTTTTCTAACTGTTTCTTTAAGTTCATCATTGAACGATTTATTGATATCAACATCTATAATCGTTAAATTTGAAATTTTATTTACTAATAAAGCTGTACCAGTTTTCCTTCCTCTTCCTCCATCATGTTTGAGGTAGTTATGTAAATCAATCTTGTTTTCACCAATTCTTTCGCTGAGGGTTTTAGTTTCTGCCACAACTAATTCCTCAGCTAATGAATCAATAACTTGTTCATCAGAAATGATAAAGTTGCTGTTGTTGTTTGTTGCTGTCATTTATATAGGAATAAAAAAAATAAAAATAATTTTAAAACTAACTTTATTTTTGGGCTGCATCATATTTCCGGGACTGTTGTCAAAATGTCATGTTGTCTCATTTTTTCAGAGAATTTAAATAACCGAGTGACACCGAGTGACGTAGTGACACCTTCAGTTCTTCAAAAATAAAGTATTTTTGAATGACCTGAAACCATTAACGATAAAATATATTTTTGGTCGTTTATGATAAAAATAAATGGTTCATTTACTCACAATATTTTTGTACAAAACGACCCCAAACTTTTAACTTCTTTTCTGCAGTTTCTAATGCTATCTTAGCGAGTTCATATTCTCTAAATTCTCTCTTTAAATCTTCTTGTTCCCATTGGTCTAGTTCGTATGAAGAATCTCTATAACCATAACATATCTCACGTTCATGTTCTAATTGTTTTTCGCACATTTTTCCAACTTCTTCTTCGAACAAAGGTTTAGCATTCTCTACTGTATCTTCGAGTTCTTCTTCATTTAATTTCACATGAACTTTCTTGTCTATGGAGTCCATAATTTTTCCAACTGCTATGCAATATTTTGGAGAAGCCCACATTGCTATATAGTTTATAAGTCTTGGGTCTGCATACATTCCTCTAACCTGTTTGATTTCATCAGGAATTCCTGCATGAATTTTGTATAAAAAGCAACCGCCGGAATTCCGACGGTTGCTATATTCTTCACAAAATGCCTTATAATACTCTTCCCAGGACTTATTTTCCAACAGCTTTCTAAAGTCTTTCCTAAACTGTTGACACATATTTGTTGCATTAATGTAACCATCCTTGTCTCTACGTAAGACTTCAATATCGTTATAAGTGCCTTTTGTGAATGTTTCGCCATTATATTTGTTAGTGAATGTTTTTGCTTCGACTGACATTTCTGTTCTTACATACAAAATAAAAAAAATAAAAATAATTTTAAAACTAACTTTATTTTTTGACTGCATCATATTTCCAGTGATGTTGTCAAAATGTCATGTTGTCTCATTTTTTCAGAGAATTTAAATAACCGAGTGACACCGAGTGACGTAGTGACACCTTCAGTTCTTCAAAAATAATTAATAATTGAATAACTAGGGAAATGAATTTACGTCAAATGTGCAATTTATAAAATCTTATGTCGACGAGCGTTCATTGAACTCTATACCATGCGTAAACTGTCATAAATGGTGGCATGTATTCTTTACTTTGTCCCGTTGTTTGTGTATATCCTGAAACGAAATGTGTATGGTTTCCTTCTCCCTGAGTGTCACTCCAGTAACAATTTATGGCAAACTTAACATCATCTTTAACATCATATCCTTTACCTTTTGTCATTCCTGACCAATCCCAATATCTATGCTTATGCCAACCCGCTTGAGATGTGCTTAAATCTATGTAGTGACTGTGTGCAGGTAAATTTTCACCTGTAATCGTTTTACTTCCACCCATTTCCTTTGAAGAGTTTGCACAATACAAAAACCTGTCGACTATTTGTTCCCATGCACCAACACCAAACATTGCTTGAGGACCTCTCGCATCCATAGATGTATAAATAGAACCTACTGGGTTCATTAAATCAAACATATGAGATAATATAGGATTGTCTATTTTGAACTTAAAATATAGTGTAACTATTTCGGGTTTCTTCTGGTTTGTGTCGGAATATTTTTTATAATATAATCTTATGTTTTCAGGGTAGGTAAAATCTTGACTATAATATTTATTTTTGTCATCTATATAATAATATACTATTCTCGTTTTTTCTATTGCATTATATCTTTTATATCTATAATAATCTAAATATAATGTTAACTTTTGTTCATCTACATGTGGTGTTCTCTCGTCATCTCCATAGTCATAATAATATGGTGCTGGAGCTAGGTTAGACAATGTCATATCTGTCATTTCATAAACTCTTAAATATTTCTTTTGTTCGTCTCCATATAAGTTCAAGTAACAGTTGTTGTCTAATGGAACTTTAACTTGTGTACCATCATTCTTTATATAGCTTACATACATTTCATTGTTATTTTTCGGAATGAGTTTATACCGTATACCATTTTTTAAGGAGTGTACAAACTGCCATCTATAATATTTATTTTCTTCATAGACAGAAAAGTCACCAACAATAGTTTCAATATTTTCAGTTGTTCCTATCAAACTTTGGTATATTTCATTCACATATTCCTTATCTGCCTTCTTCGCTAACACACTGTTGACATATTCCTTATCAGCTTTAAGGTCTAAACATCCTGAAACCCATCCTGTATCAGCTTTAAGGTCTAAACATCCTGAAACCCATCCTGTATCAGCTTTAGTTTTTAAAATCTTTGATGTCCATTCATGATACCATTCAACCCTTTCTTTAATTTCATTATCTTTTTCATTAACATATTCCTTATCTGCCTTCTTCGCTAACACACTAGCCATAAGTCCCTTATCTGCTTTCTTCTCTAACTCACTGTTGACATATTCCTTATCTGCCTTCTTCATTAACTCACTAGCCACATATTCCTTATCTGCTTTCTTCATTAACTCACTAGCCACATATTCCTTATCTGCTTTCTTCATTATGTCATTTAGGAAACCTTTTATGAATTCCTCATTTAAATTAAATCTTCCAATCTTCAAAACTTTAGGAAATGCATTTAATGCGTAATATCTTTGTTCTTCTGGTGGAATTGATGTTATATCATCCGTTATTCCTTTAATTTTTGAATTCATAAATAAAATTTCTTTTATATTTGATATCACTGTACCACCTTTGCAAACGAATTCGAAATGGTCATTTTTCAATACTATCTCCAAATCTCCATATTTCAACCTTTGCGTTTGTTCTGCCGTCTTTGAATTATATGCATATATGGCGTATGTAATGGTCTGAGGGACCTGGGTGCTTTGTGCCTTAAGTTGTTGTGGTTGCTGTTGTTTAATCATTTATTATGATTTAAAAATATTTAATCTGTTATCTCATCAGCTATTTTTTCTATTTGAAATTGCCATAATATTTCATTCATGAATTCTAAATCACAATCAAATAGGTCAGTTATTCTAAATTTAATATTTGATAAATCTTTTGAATGAAGAATAAATGAATTCCCGGATAATTGAAACGGATATGATAAAGAAAATGTGTTTAAGTTGATGGATAAAATGTTTTGTATTGATGGGTAAGAGTTAGGGTCTAATGTTTGATGTGAAAATCTCATTGGGGTATTAACTTTATCACATTTGATTAAAATGAAATTGGAACCAGTGTCAGAATACAAAACATCCCCAACATCTTTTTCAAAATTTAATATCCCCAACAATGAACGAAGATGAGGAGTACAAAATTTAATTTTCAGCGGAAATTTAATAAGGTTATTTATTTCATCAAGTTCAAAAAGTTTATCGGGTTTTGATTTAAAATTTTCTTCATACCATATGATAAATGATTCATTTAAATAACTTAAAATCGTGTTAATATCCCATTTCGCTATCACATTATTTATATACATATCATACGTTTTTTCAAGGTCATCTTTAATAAATGATATATAATCTGAAGGGTCTAAAAGAATGGGATTAAATTTACCACTCACAGAAACGAGAGTAACATTATAAATTCCACTAACTGTTAAATTTAATTCACAGTTATTATTCGAAATAATATTGATAATTGACATTGTTATTACAATTAAAAATATGGTAAAGCGTTATTTTCCAGTGATAAATAAAACTAGAATAAGATTACCTCAAGAATTCATAAATTCAACGAATAAGAAATTCATTCATGTTATAAATTTTAGTGTTTTCAGAAAATATGAGTCGATGTCATATTCATCATCAGGTTATATTTCACTTCATTCAAATTTAGTTCAATCAAACCCATATAATGACCATTTCATAAGATTTTCAGATGGTATTAAAAATGTAATTGATAGATTAAAATATGAACAGATTGACAATATCGAATTTTTGGAATTTTGGTTTAAATATCCTGATGGAAAAAAGATTGAAGTTAAAGATAAAGCTGATACTATAACAAAAACAATTACAATGACTGATCCAGATAGTGGGAAACAAAAAGAAATAAAACAAACGATAGAAACTGGTGAAAGGTCAATTATTATTGATTATGATTCAAAGGATTATTATTCGATAATGTTAATGCTTGAATATTAAATAGCCTTAACAAAGAATTTTTCAAGTGATATTTTATATTCATCAACTATTTTATTGTATATGTTATTATAAGTTAAATGTAGTTCAGTTGTTGTTCCATTCTTTGATATCTTAATTGTGCTAATATCCTTTATAGGATTTATTTTTGCAACTGTTCCGCAGCATGAAACCTCATCATCTATGAAAAATTGAATCTTAACGTCTGAATCTTGAACATCACAAAGAATGGCGATAATGTGAATTAATGATTCATAAGGTAAAATAATTAAACCGGATTGATCAATTAAATTTATTATTGAATCATAATTATCAGTTATTATATCACGGTAAATTTTCATTAATTCAGAATTAATGTCTATTTTATATGGCGCATTGCGACTGGAATCGTAGATTCCTGGGTTCTCGATGTTTGATGAAAGAGGTGGGGGGTATGTTGGATATGTGGGGATTTCAACGGGTTCTTTACCAGGTTCAGATAAAATGATTGGGTCTCCATTCTCATGGTTTTCTTCATTCTCCTCATTCTTTGGTAAGTCACGAGTTAATAAATTTGGTTGAGTTGCTGACCTTGTTAATTCAGGGCTAACATTAACTTTAACATTTTGAATAATTCGTGATTTATCATCATTTACGTTATAACCAACCGTAATCTCTGCTTTTGCGTTAGTGTTCTTTTGATTTGTGAAACGTCTTCTCATTTATAATTGAATAAAAAAAAGAAAAATATATTTAAAGTTTTATTTAGTTGTTACGGTAATATCCCAAGGTTCATCCTTGTTTGCTTATACTTTCTTTGTAACTGCACCAATTATGTTATTGATAATGATTTGAGTTTCTCCCAGTCTTATTTTATCATTTACAATATCTTTAATCATTTCATTACATGCATTCTTAAAACCATCTGATTTTTCTAATTTACGTCTATCACTTTCTTTAATTAAATCAAAGTTATAACCTTGTTGAGAATAAAGTGGTTTCTTTATCAATTCCTTGAACGCTTCTGAAAGTGAAGATGAAGAAATTCTTGCCACTTGAATTGGTTTAAATTCTGCTTTCATTGCTTCTTTCTGTTCATTGAACACTGGATCGAATAAAGCAACTTTAAAGAATTTTTTAGCTGAAATTTCGGGTCTAATATTTGCATATTGACCATCAAACTGATTAACATATTGAGGTAATCCGTTTGGTCCTTCTTCAATAGCGTTTAATTCTTCATTGAAATAAGAATATGGATTATGACGGTATGAATTAATTGGACCATTTTCACCTTCTCCAATGTATTGTTTAACAGCTTTTCCATTTTCATCAAATTTCATAGGATAATGTTCATTATATGCTTTACGTTTAGGATAATCCGTCATTGTTAATTTATACCCATTTATGACTTTAATATTACCTTGACCATCAGTAACGAAAACTTCATTTATACCATCAGGTTTTCCATTTGGACCCGTAATGTCTGCTTCGTGTGCTTCCCAATTTGGTCCATGACGTTTGGCATATGCTTGAGCTTCTGGTAATGTTAAAACGTTTCTCATTTGTTTAACATCTTTTTGAAGACCAGCAACAATGTGGACTAATTCTTTCATTCCATCAGGAACTTTCATAGTTCTATTATATGCACCCTTTTTGTTTGTTCCTTGTTTTAATGAAGTCTGTAGAAGATTTGCAATTTCTGTCATGTTTAATTATAAATAAAAAATAAAAATTAATTATAAAAAAGTTATTCGAATTTAATGGAACCTTTATTTAAATCAACTATTATTTTTCCATGTTCTCCTAATTGTTGATATTGTGTGTAAAGTTCATTAATACTCATTGGTAAATTCACTTGATAAAGCATAACGTTCAACTGTTGACGACTAAAACCACTGAAAATGAAAAGGGTGGACAGGTTTGATTTAATGTTTGTGCTTAATGCTTTAAAGTATTGAACAGCCATAAAGAATGAACATTGAATATGTCGACATTGAGTTAATAACTGATTAAAATATGATTTCTCATTTGTTATTAGTTTTGATTTCACGGCATCATCTAGAAAAATTAGTGAATGCAAAAATTCTTTATCAAAATTTGAAATAGAAAGTGTTTCAAATAATTCATCCCGTTGTTTATCATAATTTTATCCTCTAATCCTTGCTTCTTGATTGTATTATATAATTCTTTATACATTAAAAAGTTTTTTAAATAATCTTCTGCTTCTTCTTGTGATAAATAAATAATTGGAATTTTGATTAAATGCTTTAAAGATTCAAATGTATCATCTGAAGGTGAACCTGAACGGTTGATATAAATTAACACATGTGAATAGGGGGAAGTGTTAGCAATAATGATAATTTGTTTTAATATCGTTAATGTTTTACCTTTATTTTGTTTACTAATTGCTGCAGTGATTGAATTTAAGTAACATTCAGAATATGGAATTTTCATTAATTTTTCCTTAGATAGAGCATTTCTATTATCACTCAATGCTTCATTAATCATATCATCTACGTATGTATTATATACTCCCGCTAATTCTTCATAAGGGGTGGATGAATTTAAATCCATTTAATCAAAAATAAATTTATAATTTTAAACATTTCTATTCATCAATATTTCATCATATGAACTTCTATACTGTGGTGGTGTACCTGTTGGATGATATTTCAAACCTTCATCCGGTGTCCATGTCCAATATGTAGTCCTAGTAAACCAAACCTGAGGAGGATTTGTCACCTTTGAACAGTAAGTGTCATTTTCACCCTGAATGATTGGATAAGCTTTCACTTGTACTGTAACTTGTGAGTTGAAAGTTTCTAATCCATCAAAGAATATACCCGCTCCATCACGTTGAACTGGAATAGTGCATAAGAATGAAGTTTGGTCTTTCCATGTTCTAGCTAATGGCGTGCCATTATCATCATTCAGTGGTCTAGTTAATGAGTCCTCGTATTCTTCCGTGCATTCATTCACTCCATCTAAATCAGAAGCTTGAAGCATACGTGTAAAGAATATGTCACCCACTGTGGTCATCGCTTGATCGGGGAAGTTTCTGGAATCTATAGTGACCTGAAGACCTCGAAGCATTGGATTTTCTAAAACCGTTCTTTGCATTGCATTCTTCGGAAATGTTAACACAACATCTGTAACATTATGAAGAGCGTATGAGAAATCTGAGCTAATACCTTCAGGAGTGATGCAACCTCCATTTAGTGAACGAACGTCAATATGTTGAGCTGGAATCATGAATGGATCTTCCTTACTGAATAAACGTGGTATTGCTTTAACTGATTCTTCAATTAAACCATATCCTGGTGTAATGCATTTATCCTCTAAAACTTCCATCTTTGTGCATGAAATAATAACGTTATCAACTGTTGCGTCAGCAGATGTAGCGGCTAAGCTTGTAATTAATTTGGTAGAAAGTCCGATTTGTTGGAATTTGCGATCATATTTATAAACATGATTCATAATCTTTTCATAATTTTCATCAGTTATCTTTTCATAAACGTAATTTTGTAAATCAGCAACTCTTAACGGGTCAACCTGACAAAATACTAAAGTATCCCTGAAAACATAATATTTAAGAATGATTTCACCAAATGATTTAGGATAATCATCGAACGCCTGAAATGCTAACAAATCATTTACCGGAATAATCATATCAAAAGTGACATCAACTTCTTCATTTGCTTTCTTGAAAACTTCTGAAGGGTCAATATATTTACCACATACTGAGTTATCATATTTTTGAACATTATTATATAACGAATGAACAAACTTTTTAACTTTCCTTTCTGATTTTGGTTTATATGTTGCAAATGCGAAAGATTCACGGGCGCAATCCATCTGAAGATAACCGGCATCACCTCTTTCGGTTTCTACTTCTAATTGTTTAAAGCTTTGATTTGATGATTTGTAACCAACGAATAAACGCATACATTTAAAAGCGGCATCACATGTGAAAGCTTTATTTGAAACTAGAGTTGCTTTAACTTTGCGTTTAATATATGTGTCACCTAATTGGTTCACATCATGAGCTGGATTTGTAATTCTTAAATGAGTTTGTTTATCATCAAAATATGGAGCATCAGAGTCATAGCATGAACTTTCAAGTTCTCTATAATATCTTCTACCGTCATTCTTTGCGAATATTTCATTTATCTTTTCGAATGAATGAAACACATTTCCATTAATCGGTTTGGTGTTTGGCACCAAATAGTTAGTCGTCATTTATTATTAAATAAAAAATCAAAATTAAAAGATGAAAATGAATTTTTAATTTTAATGAAATAATCAACTATGGCTGCAGGATTCTTTAAAAAATTATGGGATAGAGTAAAAAGAGGAGCGCATAAAGTTTGGGAAACAATGAAGAAAGGAGCAAATTGGATATTTAAGAATAAAGAAGCAATTAGTGACGTTGCTGAATCAATAACGCCAAAAGCCGCCCCAATAAGAGAAATATTAAATAAAGGAGAAAAAGTTTATCAAAGACTTCAACCGATACTAAGATAAAAATAATATTTATTTATTTTTCCACTATCTACCTCCTATTTTATTAAGTATTCCTTCAGCTATTCCACCAATTGCGTTACCTGCTTGTGCTCCCATTGCCGGATTACCTGCTTTAGTACCTAATACTCCACCTATGATAGTTCCTGCCGTTTTCGCTACTGGTGCCAAAAAGTTTGCAACGGGTTTAATAATCTTTTGATGAACCCAACCCGCAGCTTTCTTAATTCCTTCCCATAATTTTTTAAAGAATCCTGCCGCCATTTCTGATTTAATATTAATTAAAAAATATATTTCATCACTTATATTCTAATTTTTATTTAATGATAAATGAAACCAATTTTAAAAATAAATGAAACAGAGGAGGAAGAAATAAATGAAAGTGAAAATGTTCAACAAAAAATAAACGTTGTTAAACCAATTACTGAAATAAAAATTTTTTCATCTGTTGAAGAATTTAATGACTATTATGCTAACAATAAAAAATTATTTGAAGAATTGACAACATGTAAATTGAATAAAATGTTTAAAGTTGATGGATTCAAAATTTCAAAAATAAAAGGAGTGGTTAGTTTGAAATCTATTCCTCAATCAAGAATCACCTCATTAATGAAAATAGATGATTTAACAAAAAGAATAGAAATTATTGAAGAGCGAATAAATCAAATTATTGATTTCATAAATTCAAATAATCATTAATTTCTTAAAGTTCAATGTTGAACTCAATCTTTATTTTTTACATCATATGTTTACAAAAAAATGATACAAAATCGTTCTATATTGTATGAATTCTTACGTTTACAAAAAATAAATTATTCAAAAATGTAAGACATGAAAATAATTATTTCTATCAGATGAAATATATTTTTTAAAATATCATCCGTGATATTTTGGAATCACATGTTCAGGCTTCAAATAATTTTCAATAAGAAATTTAACAAAATCTTTATATAAAGTCTTTTTTTCATTTAGTCTGTGAAATTCGTCACATACATCATCTAAGTATATTTCTACTATGCACGGAAATTTAATCTTTCCGACCTTTATAATAGGTTTTATATTTTGCAAGAATATATTCTTTGACTCCGGTATATAATCGTTTTTTCTACAAAATTTTATATATTCTTCATATGTATCCCTTTCCTTTATTTTAAGTTCTACATGTAGTCCATACACGTTTGGGCAATAATAGATATCAAAGATGAAAAATTTTCTATTATCTATTTTATCTGGTTTTACTTGTTGGGTCATTTATGTAAAAATAAAAAAAATAAATTATTTTAAAATTAATGTTAATTTTAAATGATACAAAATCGTTCTATATTGTATGAATTCTTACGTTTACAAAAAAAGTCACACAACCCGCATATATATACTACTAAAATTGAAAACATAGATAGAGTCATAATATAAAAAATAGGATAAGAACATATAGTTGTACATCCGAAATATGAACTAATGAAAGTTATTCTAGCATAGCCATCTCCATCATGGCCATTATTTTCTTTATCAACTGGGCTTGTTATTGAGGGCATTGCTTCATTCCCTGATATCATCTCAGTATCAGTGAAATATATTTTGGAGGGGTAAATTGAAGTACCCAAGGGATTTCCTCTTTCATCCATTGCAATACAGCCTTCATGACCTGAAATGAATGAAGAACCTCCTGCACCACCCGACGAACCCCAAATTTGTTTTATCCTATCATCGGTCGTTCCGCCGCAACCTCCATAGTAACCACTACCACCGCTTCCGCCAGGCTCATTTGAGGAAAGACCTGGGCTTCCTTCAAATAGTTTACAGCCAAATGTTTGATTTCCTGGAAGACTTGGGATTGAGTTATGAATGGATGGAAGACCTGGCGAACCACTAAGTCCTCCAGCATGTCCTCCATCTCCTGATTCACTCCCTCCTCCAGAACCCCCACCACCAGCTGCAACCATTATTCTATCATACACAGATGGCTTTTGACCTTGATATTTAATCACTCGAATATCGGTTGATCCGCCTGAACCAGGGGAACTGGCGTCGTAATTTTGGTCATCATAAGCACCATCGCAGCCGCCATTTTTTCCGCCTTTTCCGACAGCACTTACCGGATATATAGTATTGGCACCTCTTGTTCCAATAAATATTGCAAAGTCAGTGGGAAAACGAATTTTAAGCCTACCAGAAGTATAACCACCTTTGCCCCCTGCAGAAGTTACTTTATTATTTACGATAAAACTACCACCGCTTGCACCCCATAGTTCAAATTTATATAATCCAGGCTGTAATGTGACAATATGGTATTCAGAGCCTGTGAAGCTGTAATCCCAAGTCCCAACATACCTTTGATTAATCAAATATTGGATTCAATATAAAATGATTATCATGCAACAAACGTCATTAGCCATTAAAGGGTTGATGGTATAACTTTCATTTTCCTGAAAAAATGAAATTAAATCTTCATATCTTTAAAGTAAATGCTAATGAATCCTTAATATAAGGAAGCTAAATAATTCGTCTGGGATCATCTTAATATCAATGAAATAGATTTGGGAGGGGTGAATTGAAGTTCCCAAGGGATTTCCTCTTTTATCCATTGCGATACATCATTTATGACCTGAAATTAATGAAGAACCTTTGCCTGCTGCTCTAAATATTCTATTTTCATAAAATATGTTTCTACCGCTTGCTCCCCATAATTCAACTTTATATATGCCAGAGGGCAGTGTAATATTATGGTAGCTTGAACCCATATAGTTGTATTCCCGGGTTCCGTGATACTTTTGATGACTATTCTTTAGGTTTTATTAAAAAATTATTGCCCTATAGGCAATTACACTCTATCCTACCTTTAAAACAATAGGAAAACAGTTTCATATAAATATGGCAAAAATATAAATAAATATGAAATGATATTTTAATTAATCTTAAGATTCAAGCCAACAGTACACAAACAATGTAATTTCGTGAAATTGTAGTATCTGTGTGAATAACTCTATGAATTCGCCTTTAATTAGATAAGAAATTCGCAGATCATGTAAAATGTTAGTAAAAGCATGACAAAATCGAATCAACCGCTTAAGATTAGCTTTTAATATCACAAGAACTAAAGGCCAATAAAAGAATTACAAAAATTAACAACAAGATCCCTTTTCTTTCTTCTTTTCGAGCTGTCTAGGTGTAGATTGAGATGTAGCATTGCGGGATTTATACATTTCTGCAGCTGCTTGGAAGAGTTCGTTGACTCCTTCTTTGGCCAGAGCAGATGTAACGAAAACTCCCTTTCCATTATATTCCTGGAACTCAGCTTCAGCTGATGATTTAAATTCTTGTATTTCTTGTGGAGTATGGAGGTCAGATTTTGTCATTACGAAAAATAATATTCAGGAAGGTACTTCATCGCGAACTCTCTTGATCCAATTTGGTACTTCCTTTGTAGACTCTGATTCTCCAGCTTCAAAACAGATGAAAGCAACGTCTGAATCTCTGAAAAAGCATTTACTGACTGAATGGTATCTCTCTTGACCAGCGGTATCCCAGATCTGTAAGGAAACAGGTGTACCGTCTGATTTTTTAACATCGGCACAGCTATACGCTGGAGCAACTGTTGGAGGGGTCTGAAAATCAAAACTTTGGCGGAAATAGGTTGATGTTAAACATGTTTTGCCAACACCACTACTTCCAACAAGAATGATTTTGAGAGTAGGTCTTTGGGATTTTGGAACTCCACTCATTATTTCAAAGGATTTGTTTATTGAGAAAAAGTATCAGTTATTTCGCCTCGGATTCTGATCTTATCATATAATGGCCAAGTATAAAATTTTTACAAATGGTCGCGATAAATAATATATTTATTAGCAAACCATTCTATTTTATTAAGAATCCGCAATATTTTTTACAAATTTGCTGTATATGTCTCAAAACAGCATGCTCCTGATTATTAGAGATTTTTATGATTAACTTACCATATGGAAAATAACCGGAAACAAGATGCAAATTTGCTTTCATAAGAAAATTGCATCTGGCTGAAAAATACTTTCTTAACATCTTGATCTCTTATAGAAGAAAGGGAAATCTGAGCTTATATTTCTAAATCTTGTTTGGACTTTGGTTATGAAAATATTTTCATCTTTTCTTGAAATCATAGCCTGAATAGTTGGTCATCTTTGATTAAAGTATGATTACATAAGAATCATTTTGATATTCTTAATAATTATTCAAATAAATTTTGAATTTCGGTTTAAGAGATGCATTATATATGTAAATAAATAATTTATTCTATAAACAAAACAATAATAAGGATAATAATCATTAAATCATTTGAACAATGCCTTATAGTAATTAGCAACAGCCCAACCTGGATTATTGCTTGATTTAGAAAGCAAATCACGAATCATTTCATCTGAAAGGATTAATTCTCTCACTCTTGTATATGTTTTATTAGTTTCCTTTACTGGATTTTGATTGGTTGGAGGAATGTCAGCCAAAACTGAATTGTAAATATGTAAATCCTTGACAAAACTCAAATGGTCATCAGCAGATTTCGGAATTAGTTGATAAGGAACAGTTTTTGGTTCTTCAATAATTGGATGAGAAATCGGAACAGAATGCTGGCTATCGATCTCATCATCTGAAAGAAAAGTGGTTGTTTCAAAAGAATTGCCGGAAATTTTTTGAGATGTCGAAACAATATTTTCAATAATTTGGTTAATTTCAGTTTCACGGTGTTCGTTATGAGTTTCAACGTTTTGGGGTATCTGATTCACCTCCTCAATCTCAAACAAATTCTTTTCAAGAGGTTGGTTTTGATTTTCTTTATTTTCTGAGGAAATTTCTTCTTTATGAACGGATGATTCTTCTGGCAATGGAATGGTTTGACTAACTTCAACAGGTTTAGTTTGATTTTCCGTATTTTCTTGGGATTTTTCAGAAATTTTTGTTTTTTCAACAGGTTTTTGATGAACTTTCTCTTGTTTCTTGGGCTCTTCAGCTTGAGGTTGCATAGAATGACGTATTTCTTTGACGATATTACGGATATCAGGCTTTTTCAAGATTAATCTCGGATAAATGTTGAAATAGTCCAAAGCAATCATGCTGGTACTTCTAATTGCCTTAACAATATCAATTGGAACAAATTCATGCAAAGGAATTGCAACAATGTTCGAAGATTTTTCGTTGTCACTTTTTGGTATTTTTTCGAACGCTGTTAGGCTTAAATAAGGTGCTAAACCAGAATATTTTCTAAGCTGAGCAGCAACTTCCGTCGTTGAGCTTTGAGGACAGAAGGTCATTGAGTTAAGAATAAGTTGAAATTCATTATCAGCTAAATCTATGAGAATATAATGAAAATCTGGAGGATTCCTAGCAAATACGAGATGTAATGACATAATATCATATGTTGGTTTGACATAATTAAGATCTCTGATTTTCATTATTAATTGCAAGATTTTTAAAGAGATTTTCGAACATTTTTTCTTAAGCCTATCATACATGTTAGACTTACGTCCGGAATATTCTCGTAGTTTCCTATTACTATATTCTTGTCTGTTCAATAATAAAATTTTTGAGTTTGAATCGGGAATATCTTTGTAGAAATCACGCAATTTGTCATTCATTTCACATAGATTCGGATATTCTTTCACATTTTCAAGTTCGTACTTGGTTATCCTGTATAATCCTTTCAAAAACTTTCCTGGAGCAGAACTGAAGGCTTTAATGCCAAAGTTATAAATGTCACGATCACTGAAACCTATAACAGCATGTATTAAAGGATATCTTAAGGGTAATTCGATTTTATTTAGTAAATTTAACAAAATTTGGTTCTCTTTTTGAATCAATGGTTCATTTTTGATATCAGTGACTGTTTTTTCAATTAAATTTTCTTCGTTGAATTTTTGAATATTTTCCAAAATTTTTTCGCCAATGGCCAATTTCTCTTTAAGGTCAATTTCATTTACGAGATCTTGAGGGTTGTTTGAGTTTTGGTCACTTGTGTCGATTAAAATTGGTTCATCTGAATCTTCACTTTCATTTGATTCGTTTTGTGCTTGATTTTTCTCCGTATTACTTGTGGTATTTGCACTCTCTTTGATTTTGTTTTGTTCGGAGTAATTTATATTTGATTTTTCATTTTCTTTAGATTTCGGAGTTTCATCAGCTGTTTTAGCGTCTGATTTTGATATTTTCGAATCGTCAGTGTTGCTTTCTTGCTTAGAAATAATATTTTTGGAAGGAATAGGTTTTGCTGATAATAAACTTATCGCCTGTTGTAAGTCACCTTTAGCAGTAATCAGAGCATTAATGGCTTGGCTTCTTGGGTAATTTAAATTCTCAATATATTCAATTGCATCTTCTGTAATAAGAAAATCAGGAATATCTACATAGTCTACCTGTTTTTGTGAGTTTGAATCACGTTTTGAGTCTAAATCTTCATCATAATAGCATTCGAAAATTGCGTTATTATATTCATTAGAAATATTCGTTATGTTTTTAATAGTCTGTCCATTGTGTAGCAATTTAATCGATTCTGATGGAACTTTCGTATATTTTGATATCAATAATTTGATTTCATAAGCTCTTTCTTTATTTTTGAGTACCAGGCTTAGATCAGCAATGTCCTTCCCAGGAAATTTTACAGTAATCGTTGGAAAGTTTTGATCTAGGCTTTTCTGATTCATCCAAAATTGAAAAAATTTGGTCTTTGGATTAAATGACACTTTGCGCTCATTTTAATCAGCAACCATTTAAAAAAGCTAATAGAGGAATAGATGTTTGTTTTTGCTTCCAATTTTTATCAATTTTTTTTATACGAATTTTTGAGTATTTTTTCATTGTTAAATACAATTACATTGCAAACCAAGCTAAATGATATATTTATTCAAAGGTTTTTTGTTGTGCTCCATTTTCAATAAGGAAATTCTCAATTTCTTTCATTCCATATTCTTTTGCCATGTGAAGAGCCGAGTTCTTGGCATGATCAGACACTCCTTTTGAAAAAATGAACTCAACTAAAGAAGGAATTCCGAAGTAAACAGATTTGGAAAGACAAGAATCGAAATTCTTGCTGATACAAAGCTTATACAAGAATAAAGGAAGGTTAAAATACTTCATAACTAAGTTATCTGGAATTTCAATTTCAAAATTCGAATTTAAGTAAATAGCAACATCAGTATTATGCATTATAATAGCATTCTCCATGCAAAAGTAGTCAGGTTTCAAGTTTTCTTGTAAAAGTTCATGAATAATTTGTGGATTCTTTCCATGGAAAGAATATCTGAATGTTTCATCAGATATTTTAGCACCATTGTTCCTAAGGAATCTGAAACAGTTGAGTGATCCATAATACGAGCACCAATCAATATATTTCATTCCATTTACATCTCCATCGTAATTTTTGATATCAAGAGTCCTGAAATTCTCAAAGTCATCAAGCATAATGTATTGCATAACAGAATCTGGAGGATATACATCAAGAATTTCATCGACCATCTTATCTTCATATTTTTTGAAAGAGAGACTCCATCCAGTGTGATATTCCTTTGTAATAAGTGCATAGAATTCATCATTATAGTCTCTTTGTTCTGAAAATTCTAATTTGTATTCTTCATGAAGTTTTTTGAAGACTTCCCAGTATCCTCTGAGATATTTTTCGTTATTTTCTGCTGCACAATTGATTATTTCAGCAATAGCATTTATATTTAGGCAGTAATCATTCATAAATTTAACAATTTCAGAGTAAATCTGTGAAATATCATTAGTATTTAACTGAAAGATGTTGTTGATTACGTTTACATAGTCTTTATATGTGTCCATCATATGTTGGAACATCTCTCTGTCAAGTACTTGCTCTGAAGATATTTCTTGAAAATTTTTGTCAAAAAAAATCATGAAAATTTGCCATTGAAATTATTTATCCAAACCATTTATAAAAAGTTATATCTGCGCTTATGAGAATATTTTATTAAAGTTTTATTTTAACAAATTCTCAAAGATTCCAAATTTGTTCCAGGAGGAAATGATTATTTTCTCTGTAAATCCGGAATTTTCTATTACATATATCAATGTGTAGACAAATATCCAACTGGTTATCTTCGGGATAAAGATATTTGTATTCATTGCATTACATACTGACTCCTTTCATCTAGCAGTTTATAAATCGTTACTATAAGATGATGGGTTGACACATGTTTGATTGATATGCATAATGAAACCATTTTTTCACTAATCCTACTTTCTTATTATGGTCCAAATGGTATTTAAAGTATATAGTATTTACATTCTCGATTGTCTCAATATCTATCACGATTTCAGTTCCGAATTACAGTCTTGTTTTTTAAAAATTCAAAGTGCCATATCAATTTCACTAAATAAATATTATCAAAATCGGCAGAGACAGAACAACGTTTTATTATTTGAAACAAAAACACAAAATATTCAATATCGTTTCCATTGAATTGAGCGGCTGATTTTGAGGATTCATTGAAGGCAATCATCTGATCGTAATAATATTTATACTGTATGATCATGCCTTCTTCGATTTTTCTAGAACAACTTTCGAGAATCCTATAAAAATGTGGAATTATAAAATTAAACATTTTGTAATCATTATACTTACAATTATACAATGTGGATGTTCAGCAACAACTATTGCATAACTCGTCAAAGATTTCGAATTCCACATTGATATATGGTTCATTAAGAAATAGTTCTTGATATTGGAATGATGGTGTATCTGATGTTGTGCTACTTTCTGTTTGAGAATTTGAATTCTTTTTCATTTTTCTCATCAAAAGATGATATCTATTTTTGATATTTACATTAGTTCTACCAGGCATAAGTTTGGCAATTTCTGTCCACTTTTGTCCCCATTTATTAACTTTCTGAATTATAAGTTGATCTTCTTCTTCAGTCCAAGGATCTTTCTGAATATTTTGGGAAAGATAGTGTTTGTAGCGTTCTCTGACTTGTCTAGCATTTCTACCTGGCATAAGGCTAGAAATTATTTTCCATGATTTTTGTCCAATTCTGGAAACCATGTAGAGGATGAATGTGTCTTCTTCCAATGTAAATTTCTTCTTACCACTTTCTTCTTTCTTGGGCAAATAAATACCAGGCTGGGTAATGCAATTCATCATTTGCGAGAAATGAATTTTGGTTATACTCTCAAAAAATAGACTTCAATTTATAGCGGTTTTCGGTTAATCATAGAATTTTAATTTTGAAATTCATTAAGACAATAATATGGCATTATTTTCCAACAAATTAATTGAATTTTTTTGAAAATAATAGAATATTTGAATATTATAGAAATCTCCTTTAAATTGAGAAGTTTACTTGAAAATACTAAGAAATTTATGCTCATTTCTTAAACATTATGCATAAATACACAAAACACTATTTGCTCACAATAACTTACTTTTCAATTACTTTCAAAATTAAGTTATTAATTTTTTATAGAGCTTAAATTTTTGGTGAAAAATACCTAATAATGTGTTTCCGAAAGATTTAGTTTTCATAAACTTTTGTCAAACTAGACTTGATTTTTTGAGCGAAAAAATAATCGTTTATATTAAAATTGAATTACAAAACAATTGCCAGTCTTATATAAGTTTTAATGATATATTAAATCTTACATCAAAAACATTTTTAATATTATTTATTAAAGATTTTGGACAGCCAAAAACTATTCACAATTTTTGATAAGCATTCAAAATTAATATGGGATATTTTATTTTTAAAACTGCAAAATAAATAATTACACTAATTCTTCTTTCTATTGATATTAAAATAATTCAAATACTTCCAACAAATTTTAAGAACATCAACTGTAAGTAGTATATGTTGAAGGGTTGTGTGACTTTTTTTGTAAACGTAAGAATTCATACAATATAGAACGATTTTGTATCATTTTTTTTAACATATGAAGTAAAAAATGTATGATTCTTACGGTTTTTATTCTTACGTTTTTGAATAAATCAAGATTTAAAAAATTGACTTCTTACGTAAAATTAAAACTAAGTTAAATTTATTTTTTTTTATTTTTTATTTTATAATAAATGAGTATAACAACTAATTCATTGAAATCTTTAAAGTTCACTAATTCAGAATTAGAAAATATTTTAGAAAATTTTGGAGACGGTTCTTATCCAACATATATGCAGAATGTGAAAGAGTTTTCCAGATTGTTGAATGAATTTAAATATAACGGACCAATTACTAAAAAGGCTATAATGAGATATTTATATCCCAAAAAAGTTGAAAAACAGGAGAATATTCCTCTTTATGGTCCAGAGGACCTGGGCTCAGAGAGCCTTGAAACACCTCCTGAATATTTTGAAGAAAAAATTAAACAAGATGAATATTATAACGATGAGATTGAGAAATTGGAACAATTAAGAAATGAAATAGATGAAAGAATTAGTGAATTGAGAAATGCTGAGAATGAAGTAGAGGGTTTAATGAATATCCCAGCTTCAGAATCAGAAGTTCAAAAATCACATGAGGAAAGATATAAAAATTACTTTTTGGAATCTACTAAAAATTTATTAGATGGTGATATTGACGAAACACTTTCAGAAGAAGGCACAAAATTTATTCATAAACATAAGCTTCAGTTTATTGACGATGGAGATTATCCATGTATATTACTTTCACCTCCTCTTGATTCTGAAAAATTCAAAAAAGCACTGAAAAATGTAACATATGCAACAAATACGATTAAGAAAGAAGACCATGATATTTACACAAATTATTATTTAAATAAATGTACAGGTGTTGATAAAGTTTTTGATTTGTTAGATAAAATATCAAAAGAAACAATTGGTACATATAAAATTTTATGCGATTGTGGTTTCATTATTGAAGATACCAATAATGTTTCATATGAAAGAACAGCACCGAAGGAAGACGAAGTTGAAAGGTCTATACCATTCGTTATTAAGAACATAAAAGATATGAAAACTTATAAACATTATATTTATTCATTTATTTCAGAAAAAATGGAAGCAACCCATAAAACATCATCTCATCATTTTATAGCTATTCATACATTCCTTTTCAAAGTTGTGAAATTAAATAAGACAGGAATTAGATTTAATGTATCAGGGTACGCATTCTTGAGTAAATTAAAATGTATTCGTCACGTCGCAGATGATAAAAATTTATGTGTTCTTAATTCATTTTATGGACTTTAGCCCTGGACTCTCTGAGTCTCGGACTTTAAAAAAAATAAACTTTATTTTTATTTATTTTTTAATTTTTATTCTTACATAAATGAACAAAAATGGAACAGCTAAAATGAATGATAATCAAATAAGAGCCGAAGGTAGAAGGTTATTTAAACGCTTCTATAACATTCCTGATGGTGTTAATCCTAAAACTCGTAGAAGTTATTTAAATGAAGCCATAGATGCATATGAAGGATTTGACATTTCATCAGAAAGTGAGAGGTTAGCAAGAATGTTAAACGTTAATATTGATTTTTATTATTGTGACCCTCAACCAGAAGACGTAGACATTAACAAGGTAGACTTTCCATTAGTGGAATCAATAATGATAGATCCAGAATTTGAAACAGTAAATATTTTATTAACACAGAGTCCATGTGGAAAACTTCACGCTGACAGAATTACAGACGTTGAAGCACTCACAGGATATAAAGTTTGCCCCTTTTGCAAAGAAGAAGTATATTCTATCCGTGATGATCCAGAAAGGAAAAACCAAAGAAGATTTTTAAAACATTGTGAGAAATGTAAAGAAAATAATGGAAGATTAATTCAAGACGTTCAATTGCAAAACACACAACAACCATATGCACCACATATCACGAAACAGAAGATATATCAATGGCTATTAGCACATAATTTGCAGGAATATTATAAACCAACAAGATATTATATTACTTTTGACTTCGAAACATTAGAGACTAAAGAAGAACTTCAACTTTCTGAATGTGCAACTTTGAACGCTTACTTAAAACCATTTATGGTATCATCAACTGTCAAAATAAAGCCGCAAAGCGGCGAGGTCGTAGACCGTGATAAAACATTTACGAGGAATTTTTGCTTAACATCAAGTGATTCGTTTCTCTGATTGGATTGAATTTTTATTTTCAACCTGTTCATTAGTTGCTAAATCAAATATTGAACAATATGAAGAATTAATGAATACATTAAATGAGAAACAAAAGGAAGCAATGAAAGAGCTTTTAGATGAAGAATTTAATAAAGTGAATATCATTGGTTTTAATTCGGGAAAGTTTGATTTAAATTTAATTCTTCGTGATTTAAATACTGCAAAATGGAAGATAAAATCAATGCTGGGTTCTTCTTCTCAATTTAAGCAATCATTGTAAAGAAAACAAACTGTCCATATGAATTAAGATTTATTGACATCAGAAATTATATAGCGGGTGGAACATTAGACCAATTCACTCAAGATTTCGGAAACAATAAATCACGTGTTAAATCCTTTTTCCCTTATCAATTCATCACATGGGAGAATTACGAAGATGAATTATATAAAAAGGAACCATTCAAAGATTCATTTTATTCAGCATTAACACAAGAAACAATATCCGATTCAGATTATCAAATATATCTCAATGATGCTAAAAATTTTGAGAATAGATTAGAATATTTTATTCATTATTGCAATAAAGACGTGTGAAATTATGATTGACCCAATTGATAAAATTATCGAAGAAACATTTGTTTATAAAATTGACATGCTTCATAATCTTTCTTTATCATCGAATGCATCAATGATTCGTTACGCGTTAGCATATAAGAACTTCAATCCTAACGAAACATATCCAGAAGAAGAAAATGTGGAATCAAGTTTTGAATTAACGAAAAAGTATTGGAAATATAAAATTGAATCATATAAGAAACAAGATGAAAAGGCGAAAAGAGATACAAAAACAATGTTTCAATGGATGACTATCAATACTATCACGATTTAATCCTTTCATCTAAATGCAAAATGTGTGGTAAAGCGTTTACATATGCAAATAAACCAACATTGGATAGAATCGATAATGAAAAACCACATACCAAAGAAAATTGTCAGTTAATGTGTTGTTATTGCAATGTCGTAAAATCAAATAAAGATGAAGATGTTCAACGTTTAAGAATCAATTTAAGAAATTATGCATTAAAAAATAATTTACCAATGACTTTAGATTCAGTTGAAGCTTATCACATTCTCCGTAATGGAATTACTGGTGGTCTATCAAATGTTCAACATCGTGTTAATCTTAAAGGAATCACGCACATTAATAAACTTTCATATAATCCAGAAACTAAAACTGTATCAAATGAGGACACCACCAACATTATGACTCATTTCGTTGGAGTTGACTTTAATTCATTATATCCTTCATCATTTTCATCTAATCCTCATGATTTCATTCAATATACTGACCATAAAATGTATATGCCGGGAAGATTGAATGGTGTTATCATTTGTGATACAGCAACAAAGAAAGCAAAAGCACTGGGAATAATTAGAAGAAAAATACTTTATTCGTGGCTGAAGTAAAGGGTCACATTGATGAAAAATACATTAATGATTACATAAACTTTTTACCGATAATAAGAAACTTAGATATTATCACAGATGAAAAAACAATTGGCAGTTTTATGTATAATTACATGAAATCAAACAATCTACCAGTTGACCAGAAACAGAGAAATTAACTCAGTTAGCATCAACACACAACCAATATCAACCATTTTCTTCTTATTATCTTTGGTATCTAATAGACAGATTTCATTTTATCATTGATGATATTCAATCAATTTTAACATTTACGAAAAACACTTGTTTTAATGAATTTGCGAACGAATTTATGAACGAAAGACAAAAGGCTGAATTAGAAGGAAATAAAGGAAAAAGTTTATTTTGCAAGATTTCACTTAATGGATCATATGGTTACGATGCAATGAATACACAAAATTACGCAAAGACTAAAATAATGAATGCACAGAAGTCACGCGTTGCATGTATGTCAAATAAGTTTAAAAACATAAGAGAAATAGGAGATACATATCAAGTGATGCTTAAAGATAGATTTTATAGATGTGATACATGTTTACAAGAGGCATTCTTCACTTTAGATAATGCTAAATACTGG